AGTAGTAATAATTATAATTATAACGATTTCGTGAATATAACATCTGAGATTGCACTGCATAAGGGCAAATAAGGGTGCACTGAGTGGTGCATGCTCTGGTTATCTCCTGCTTGGACTACTGCAACATGCTCTACGTGGGGCTACCTTTGAATGTGACTCAGAAACTACAACTAATCCAGAACGTGGCTGCCAGACTGGTTACTGGGGGTGGCTGCCAGTCCTAAAGGATCTACACTGGCTCCCAGTATGTTTCCAAGCACAATTCAAGGTGTTGATGCTGACCTTTAAAGCCCTAAACAGCTTTGACCCTGTATACCTGAAGGAGCACCTCCACCCTCAACGTCCAGCCTGAAGGACATCTGAAGACATCTGAAGGCAGCCTTGTATCAGGAGGTTTTTAATGTTTGATGTGTTATTATGTTTTATGTGTTGGAAACTGTGCAGAGTGGTCGGGGCAACCCAGGCCAATGGGCAGGGTACAAATAATAAAAAATAATGTCATTATTATAAAATGGTGTTGCAAAAATGTTTTCTTATTTTAAAAATGTGCATGAGGACTTAAAAAAAGAAAGCAATCACAAATAGATGTGGAAATGTGGAGAACCAATCTTAGGATTGGAAAACTGAGAAACTAAGAGAACCCAAAGCCCCTACTCCATGTCTCCCATTACACTGTAGATCCTCTGCCCCCTCGAGTGCAAACATCCTTGCCCGTTTCCAGATGGTGCCAATGGGCCCTTGTGCATTCCGCTCTTGCACCCAGCTCTCCTTGCAAGCAAGGGAAAGAGGACTTGCTCTACAGCGGGCAAACCATGCCATTTATGTCAAGCCATCCTCCTAAACAAACTCCAAGCCTGACAGCCCTTCCCACAGTCTAAGTGCAGGCATCCATGAAGGCTAATTTCTGTATCACTGCAGTTTCCCTGGGAGGCTGGCTCTTTGGCCATTCACCGTCAGCATTCCTTTCGACTATTCAGTCTGTACTTTGCTCTGACCCGGCATGAGTTTATTGTCAATTCAAGTTAGGACAATAAAGGGCACAGCCCACCCATCCTGTGCAAACCCGATTATCAATATTCGGGACCTGAGTGAGAGCACAGATCAACATGGGAAGCTGCTTTATTGTGAATCAGGCCTTTGGCCTGTCTAGCCCAGTGTCATCTGATCTGAACTCCGGAGCACCTGCATTTAACATTAAGAACTGGTGTCTGAGTTTGCTTGTTTTCATCTTTCCTCCTCATCTTTTTCCTTTTGTGCCATGTATTTTAGTTTGTAAGCCACAGGCCAAGGATTGTCCTTTTTTATTGATCTGTAAGTAGCACTGTGGGTTTTCTTATTTAAAAAAAGCTTTAATGAAAGAAATATGACAAATAAATGTAAAGCAATGCACTTCCATTCTGCTCTGGCTTCTCTACAATGTTATGCCTCAGCATCGTCTGAAAATGCCTTACAGGTCCTTGGTCCATCCATTGGTTCAGCAGCAGCAGCAGCTCTTAATTTTTCTCAAGCAGATCACCCACCTCAGCCTTTGCTAGTAGAGAACCTTCTATCTGCCAATGCCAAGGAAGTGAAAAGTGATAGCTCAGTAGTGGAGCATGTAGCCTGAGTACAGCACATGCCTTGACAGCTCCACAATAGATTTCAGGTAACAGAACTGGGGAAGACCTATGCCCCCTAGAGAGTGTCAGCCAGACTGGTAGGCAGTAGACCAGGTGATCCAAAAGTGTGGGTCATCCTAAGGCAGCTTCATGTGACCATGAAGAGCTATGGGTCCTCTCCCCAGGTGGATGCTATGTTTGCAAGTGAAACACCCTTTGCTAACCAGAGTCTAGAATATTGCTGGAGTAGTGCTGAGTGGAAGGGATTGTTGCATTTAAGGGAAGTGTCATGCAGGGCAATAATTCTGCTGAATAGGGGGCAGCCTTCGCCTATCGGCTGTCTGAGCATCTGGGGCAACTAGCAGCTGCTGATGTCTGTGTTCTGAGCAACATGTTCCCACATGATATTGTGCATTTATTTACTATGTTTTAATCCCCACTCCTACCCACAAGGGGCTTGGTGTCCCCCTCCTGACTCTCACAACAACCCTGAGAAGCAGGTTATTGAGGAACAGAGATGTAGTTTGTGATTGTTTTGCTGGAACTTTGGGCTTGTATACACGCAGGAGTGGCTAAGGCTTTGCATGCAAATAGTCCCAGGTCCAGTCCCCTAGTGTTTCCACTTCAAAGGGAGCAGGCCAAGGGTAGATATCTGCCTGGACAGCTGCTGCCAGCCAGAGCAGACAATACTGAGCTAAACAGAAGATCGGTGCCCTGAATCAGTATCATAGGTGCTGGAGCCCTGGGTGCCCAAACACCCACAAAATTCCCCATGAAGGTGCCAGACACCACAAATTTCAGTGCCAGGGCCATGCATGCTGCATGGCACCCATGGCCCCAGGCACCCATGGTCGCAGGGCCAAGCTGGCACTCCGGATTGGTATTGGGTGCAGCTCAAGCACTCCTGATTGGTATTGGGTGCAGCTCAAGCCAATATATTTCTTTTTGTACCATTCCCTGTAGTAGCGATAACAACTATGCTAACACCAAACGTTGCTGCTTGCTATTTAAAGTTGGCAGCCATATTCCAAAACCAGCTCAGCCACACAGCAGTAATGATGCTGTATGAGGGTGGGATATGTGTGTTTGTTCCCAGTTGTATGGCCTATTGACTGCTTTTCATGTTGACATCCATCCCAAGTTCATTTTGCTCAAAAAAGGATTAGATAGAATTAATGCTATATGCCCTCCTTTCCCCTTTTCCCAAAGAATGTTGAGCTGTGCACCTAATGAGGACCCCATAAAGGGCTATTAGGTCCAATTGTCCCAATTATGCAGATAGCAGTGAAATTTCAGCAGAACAGAGAGGGTGTGTTTCAGATTAGAAGTTGCAAGCTTCCAAAATCCAGCTGGCCTTTTCTGTTGAGCCAGCATTCTTACAAGTTGCTCTAAGCCACTTGTTTGGAAAAGGGAAAGAAGATTTAACAAATTGGAGATTTGGGTGCTATCAAAGTCAGTATGTTGTGCCTCATTCTGCCATGAGATGGAAACTCCCTCCGGGCAGGGAGATGAAGAGTCATGGGACGTCTAAAGGATTACCTTCGAAAAGAGTCATGAGACTGGTTTGAACAAAGAATCAACTCACATGCTTATCATATGAGACACTCTTCTTAAAGTGAGGATTCTGGTGGACTTCAGAAAGACTGGGAGTCCTAGCCTTTAGAGGAGATTAAACAACTCCACCATCTTTCCATTCTTCAAAGTAATATGTTCTGCAGAATAACAGGTAGGCTGACTTATTTCAAATTCCATGTTATTTCATCATTGCCACTGAAACGTATTTACATGCATTTTGTTTATTAAGATGATGATGAAATATCTAATTTTGGGTGTTGAAAAAGAGGGTGCAAGAGCTGCAGTGATTTACCTTTGGGTTTGTTGAATCTGGCAGAATTACTCTGAAAGAGGTTGCCAGAGAAGATAGGATAGAGCAGCAGTGAAGTTTAGAGGCCAGCATGCTAAAGATGCTTTCATGAATATGTGTGGGAATGATGGAATGAGACCTTGGTTTTGCAACACCTCCCCAAATCTATAGCTCCTTCCAGTCTCTAGGATTTAAAAACCCTGACCTCATTGGTGTTTGCCAGGGATGTGCAGTGACCACCACCACATATTGAGAAATAGCCACAGTCTTCCAAACAAAATTCATGCTTATCTTAAATTCTTCCAATATTTCTCCTCGGAAGGAACCTCCAAATTTACCTTGATTTTGCTCTTGGCAAAATTTAGTCAGTCAGAAGTTCTCATTCCAGATGTGAATGGATAATTTCTTCATTGACTCAAAATTCCCAATAGGACAATCAGTGTAGGCAAGAGGCAGACAACATCCACTGGACTAATTAACAAAATAGACTGTTCTATTTTTCTCACTAATGTGTGGAGGCAAACACAATTTTTCAGAAGTTATTGAAATGCTGCTTGCTTCCTCTGAAATTATTGTGAACCTTCTCCTGACCAGGAAATATCCAAATGTGTCTTTAAATTTTAATTTGGGTGGTAACTAAATGAGGACATGCACACACCTTTAAAAATATTTGGAGTCAGCTGCTAGAATGTTTTGGAGGGGCCATAAGATCCAGGCAGATTTCGATGGAAAGATTCATGACCAGAATTGTGACTTTGGGTACCTATTTGTGGATTGGTGCTAAAAAAAACACAAAACAAAACTTGCTTTTCTCCAAAGTTATTTCATGGAGGAAGTATATTGTCTCCAAAACTGGCCATGGTTCCTATTTAAGGAGGTAACCCCCTCCCCACCCTGCATATTTCTCATGCCATATATTTCTACCCTCTCTTGAGCATCGTAAAAGGAGCCCTGGCCAGTGGTAGCTGGTGGGATCCTGCAATAGATTCTGATGGGGGAAACCAACCCCCACACCCTTGTTGCCAGGGGGCAGGAGGTGGAGGTGGCAAGAGGCACAAAGTGGCAGGCAGCTGGTGTCAGAACCATGCAGATCCTCGAACGCTGGCTTGTTTTTAATTCTGGAAGGGAAGGGACCATCCCGTGTGAGTTTGTTCTTCTAGCCTGCATGCATCATCCAAGCAAGCAGTTATTACCTGGCCTTTACATGGCACCCCAAGGGAAGCTTCATGGTTGAGCCGCCTCCACTCTGTACATCAAAAACAGCCAGCTAGTAAGAAATTCAACAAAAGAGGTTCCAGTTGCATCCTCTTGGGAGCTGCATGATGATGGTGATGCTGACACAAGAGGACAGTCCATTGTTAACCACTGACCCGAGATGCACTTCCAAAGTGGCTTAAACTTTGGTATAAAATTTGGTGTCGTGGTTGATAGTGACCTTGCTGGCTGTGCTACATCTTTTCCTCTCCTGTTGAGCAGGGTAAGCCCCTGAACACTGCCATTAATCTGTCATAATCCTTTCCGTGTTCCTTCATGCAAAGGCTCCTGCTGGAAGGATACTTAGTTTCCCCAAACATCCAGGGAAGAGCCCAGGAAGACTTCATCTTGCAGAACATCCCCTGGGCATCCCACTACTGTGTAGAGGTGAAGCCAAACCAAGAAGATGCCATTTCTCTAAGACTGTATATGTTTTCACTACAGTGTTTTCAGTGGATTATAATCAAGCTTTTGGTAAGAGGATTAAGCATCCTACAGCAGTGAAACTTCAAAGGCCTACTGTACATATGTTGGTTAGCTTTTCATTCCAGTGATTTATAGCACCTGCTTTTGTCTTCTCATTATCATGAGGAATATGCAGTAGGCAGGTACCAGCCATGGGAAGAAATTAGTTGGCTTTGCTTGTTGATGTGGACCTACCTAAATCACACTTCCCAAACCAAAATGCATACCAAAACAGCTGTTCTTTAACATTTGAATTTTTCCAAATTTTGTGATGCAGTTCTCCAACATAGGAATGCTTCTTTTAAAAAGGGAAATATATTCGGGGGAAATGTGCACAAAATGCACATATCAGTGAAAATAATGTACAAAAATGCATTATATTGAGGGGAATTGTTTTAAATGTGTGCTTTATACAAAAATGCATACAACAATGTGTATGTTGTGGTGCAACAGTTAAAGTGTTGGACTAGGAGGGAATGTTCCCTGTGTGCTCCATGACTGGAGGGTTGTTATGGTCCAATCTCCACATGTGTTGTTGTTTCTTCTAGGGAAATGTAGCGGTTGGAGGGGGGTTGGTAATGTGTGTGGGTGTGTGATTAGCTGTGGTAATATGGGGGCAGCAGCATTGCATGAGCTCAAGGTGTCCGGCACAGGCACACATGTGCCAGACCAGTGCACGCACACAGACTGGCAGGTGGGCATGCCAGGGGTGTATGCACCCCAGCGGGTGAAGCGCGGAGGGTGAAGGAGCCCACCCCAGCACCTCAGCCCTCGCTGCTGACACTGCCAGAGCGACCAAGCAGGGCTGTGCTGTGCCACCTGCCCACCTGCGCAGGGGAGAGCCTGACCAGCTGACACGGCACTTGACGGGCACAAACCAGGCGCCCCATGTCAATGCCCCCAGTGCGGCCCAGTGCTCCTGCTTTGAGTGCACCCCCTCAAAAATCCATGCCTGGGGCCATGGCCCCTCTGGCATCCCCTGCACTACGCCCCTGTATGGGGGTTCTCAAGGGTGGGTGAATGCTGCTGGTATAAACACAAGTGTTTATAGGTTTTTGTTGTTATTATGTTAAACGATAACAGTGGACCTCTTCCTCTCCCTTTCCCATTTTGTCTTCACAACAGGCCTGTGAGGGAGGTTAGGCTAAGAGATAGTGACTGGCCCAAGGACATCCAGTGAGCTGAGTGGGTATTTCAAATCCTTTTTGCTCAAAAATGAAGAAAAGGGGGGGTGATATATTTATTATGAAGTATTCCTGAATACCCACAACAAAGAAACACAAGGTTGCTTTTAAACTGCAGACATACCTCAGAGATCTTGCGGGTTTGGTTTCAGACCACCACAATACAGTATAGCAAATATCACAGTAAAGTGAGAAAGTTGTTTCCCAGGGCATCTGAACATTATGTTTCCAAGACAGTGCAGTCTGTTAAGCCAGGCCACCCTGGCTGCAGAGGGGGAGGGGGGAACCCGACTCCAGCCCTCGCCAGCTCCACTCCCATGGCCAGAAGAGGGGCGGCAGTCGGGGTGTGGGAGGCTGGGCTGCTGCAGCTGCACCCGTGTCCTTGTGAGGAGCATTATCTGCAAAGCACAATAAAACGAGGTATGTCTGCATTTAGATCTTGAATTTATCCAAGCTTGAGCATCTGAGCAGAATTGCTGTACATTTTAAATCACTTTTGACACTCCTCTATTTGAAACACCAGGCACAGTCTTGCATGGAACGTTTGTACAGTATTGCCAGCCTAATATCAGCTGGTGAAAGACTTCCAGAAACACAACTAGCTGGCAAATCACGAAACTTGAGATCTTTGCATGGTTTAAGGTCAGCATTAGAGGAGAATTTGTGGTCAGCACTGGATGTATTTTTAACAGCTTTGTTAAAAGAGACTGTAAAGAGTTCCCAAAGGACCTCTTCACCGGCAGATAATAAGCAGAGTAAGCTTTTTGGAATGACATGTATGGAGCTATAATTATGGGGAATGATTTACCTGTTGATTTTCTGTCTTTGGGCCTCTCGTTACCTGTGTGTGACCCCTGCTTGATTTTTGACACTGTCTGCACCTGGGAAAAGAGGGTTCAAATTTGGATGTGATATCCATTTTATGCATATTTGAGCCACCTTTGATAACTGTTGTTGTTGTTGTTTAGTCGTTTAGTCGTGTCCGACTCTTCGTGACCCCCTGGACCAGAGCACGCCAGGCACTCCTGTCTTCCACTGCCTCCCACAGTTTGGTCAGACTCATGTTTGTAGCTTCGAGAACACTGTCCAACCATCTCGTTCTCTGTCGTCCCCTTCTCCTTGTGCCCTCCATCTTTCCCAACATCAGGGTCTTTTCCAGGGAGTCTTCTCTTCTCATGAGGTGGCCAAAGTATTGGAGCCTCAGCTTCACGATCAGTCCTTCCAGTGAGCACTCAGGGCTGATTTCCTTCAGAATGGAGAGGTTTGATCTTCTTGCAGTCCATGGGACTCTCAAGAGTCTCCTCCAGCACCAGAATTCAAAAGCATCAATTCTTCGGCGATCAGCCTTCTTTATGGTCCAGCTCTCACTACCATACATCACTACTGGGAAAAGCATAGCTTTTACTATACGGACCTTTGTTGGCAAGGTGATGTCTCTGCTTTTTAAGATGTTGTCTAGGTTTGCCATCGCCTTTCTCCCAAGGAACAGGCGTCTTTTAATTTCGTGGTTGCTGTCACCATCTGCAGTGATCATGGAGCCCAAGAAAGTAAAATCTCTCACTGTCTCCATTTCTTCCCCTTCTATTTGCAGGAGGTGATGGGACCAGTTGCCATGATCTTAGTTTTTTTTGATCATAGAATCATAGAGTTGGAAGAGACCACAAGGGCCATCGAGTCCAACCCCCTGCCAAGCAGGAAACACCATCAGAGCACTCCTGACATATGGTTGTCAAGCCTCTGCTTAAAGACCTCCAAAGAAGGAGACTCCACCACACTCCTTGGCAGCAAATTCCACTGTCGAACAGCTCTTACTGTCAGGAAGTTCTTCCTAATGTTTAGGCGGAATCTTCTTTCTTGTAGTTTGGATCCATTGCTCCGTGTCCGCTTCTCTGGAGCAGCAGAAAACAACCTTTCTCCCTCCTCTATGTGACATCCTTTTATATATTTGAACATGGCTATCATATCACCCCTTAACCTCCTCTTCTCCAGGCTAAACATGCCCAGCTCCCTTAGCTGTTCCTCATAAGGCATCGTTTCCAGGCCTTTGACCATTTTGGTTGCCCTCCTCTGGACACGTTCCAGTTTGTCAGTGTCCTTCTTGAACTGTGGTGCCCAGAACTGGACACAGTACTCCAGGTGAGGTCTGACCAGAGCAGAATACAGTGGCACTATTACTTCCCTTGATCTAGATGCTATACTCCTATTGATGCAGCCCAGAATTGCATTGGCTTTTTTAGCTGCCGCGTCACACTGTTGGCTCATGTCAAGTTTGTGGTCAACCAAGACTCCTAGATGAAGAAGACGAGAAGAAGAGTTTGGATTTGATATCCCGCCTTTCACTCCCTTTAAGGAGTCTCAAAGCGGCTAACATTCTCCTTTCCCTTCCTCCCCCACAACAAACACTCTGTGAGGTGAGTGGGGCTGAAAGACTTCAAAGAAGTGTGACTGGCCCAAGGTCACCCAGCAGCTGCAAGTGGAGGAGCGGAGACGCAAACCCGGTTCCCCAGATTACGAGACTACCGCTCTTAACCACTACACCACACTGGCTCCCAATCCTTTTCACATGTACTGCTCTCAAGCCAGGTGTCCCCCATCTTGTATTTGTGCCTTTCATTTTTTTTGCCCAAGTGCAATACTTTACATTTCTCCCTGTTAAAGTTCATCTTGTTTGTTTTGGCCCAGTTCTCTAATCTGTCAAGGTCGTTTTGAAGTGTGATCCTGTCCTCTGGGGTGTTAGCCACCCCTCCCAGTTTGGTGTCATCTGCAAATTTTATCAGGATGCCCTTGAGTCCATCATCCAAGTCGTTGATAAAGATGTTGAATAAGACCGGGCCCAAGACAGAACCCTGTGGCACCCCACTAGTCACTCTTCTCCAGGATGAAGAGGAACCATTGATGAGCACCCTTTGGGTTCGGTCAGTCAGCCAGTTACAAATCCACTGAGTGGTAGCATAGTCAAGTCCGCATTTTACCAGCTTCTTTACAAGAATATCATGGGGCACCTTGTCAAATGCCTTGCTGAAATCAAGGTAGGCTACATCCACTGCGTTCCCTTCATCTACCAGGGTTGTAATTCTGTCAAAAAACGAGATCAGGTTAGTCTGACATGACTTATTTTTCAGAAATCCATGCTGACTATTGGTGATCACAGCATTCCTTTCTAGGTGCTCACAGACTGTTTGCTTAATGATCTGCTCCAGAATCTTCCCTGGTATTGATGTCAGACTGACTGGGCGGTAATTATTTGGGTCCTCTCTTTCCCCCTTTTTGAAAATAGGTACAACATTTGCCCTCCTCCAGTCTGCCGGGACTTCACCTGTTCTCCAGGAATTCTCAAAGATGACTGCCAGTGGTTCTGAGATCACATCTGCCAGTTCTTTTAATACTCTTGGATGCAGTTCATCTGGCCCTGGAGACTTGAATACATCTAAACTAGCCAAGTATTATTGTACTATCTCCTTAGTTATTCTGGGCTGTGTTTCCTCTGCTGAATCATTTGCTCCAAATTCTTCAGGTCGGGCATTGTTTTCTTTATCGGAGAAGACTGAGGCAAAGAAGGCATTGAGGAGTTCAGCCCTTTCTGTGTCCCCTGTTTGCATTTCACCATCTTCTCCTCTGAGTGACCCCACTGTTTCTTTGTTCTTCCTTTTGCTACAAACATACCCATAAAAGCCTTTTTTGTTGCTTTTAACCTCTCTAGCAAGCCTGAGTTCATTCTGTGCTTTAGCTTTTCTGACTTTGTGTCTACACGTGCTGGCTATTTGTTTGTTTGATGTTGAGCTTCAGACCATATTTTGCGCTCTCCTCTTTCACCCTCATTAAAAGGTTCTTTAATTCCTCCTCACTTTCTGCCATCAAGGTTGATAACTGTAGCAGGACCCAATCTATATATATAGTCTTCTGGGCCCAGAAAATCCCATCTCATTTCCACCCCACCCCATTCACATGCCATAGTCTTCAGGTAATAGATTCAGAGATATTTTAGTCATGGATAAACCTTCCAAAATTATTCTGGGACAGTAAAACCTATTTCCTGCTGCCCAAAAAGGAGAACATTATATTTCTATACCACATCATGTGTAAATGTCTTATCTATCCCAGACTGTGAAAGGACAATGATATTTCTTTATGAGCAGAAGGTGCACCCCCACACTCAGAACAGAAGCTACCTATACATTCTGCTTTTGCTACCTGTGACCACCTCGTCAGGGCTACTTTTGTTCCCAAGCACCTGGGTTTAGAAACATCACCATTTGGGAACAAGGAATTCTAGTTTGGGATAGTGAATGGTTTGGATTACTGGAATCTGGGGATGTGCCCTTTCTTCCTTCTTCTGTGCAAGTTAATAGCAAAAATTACCCATGGTGCGCACTGGTTTAACATCTTTGTTGACTATGGCCCCAAATCTTGTTCCTGGTTCACTGAATTGCATTTGCCATTTTACTGCCCATTCTCTCAGTTTGGAGAGGTCCTTTTGCAACTCTTCACAATCTCTCTTTTGTTTTAACCACCCTGAACAATTTGGTACCATCTGCAAACTTGGCCACCTCACTGCTCACCCCTTAACTTTAGATCATTTATGAACAAGTTAAAATGTGCAGGTCCCAATACTGGCCCTTGGGGGCTGTACATCTCTCCATTGAGAGAATTGTCCATTTATACCTGTACAACTCCATTAACCCCAGCTGGTCCAGGCTGGAGGGCACAGTTTGGCAGAGGCTGCTCTGTGGGTTTGCTTTGATTCCAGCTGTAGGTCTGTATAGGTCTGTATTCCAGCCAGTACTGTATAGCTCAGTGCCAGAGGCCATGCTTTGTGTGCAGAAGCCCCCACATTAAGCCCCTGCCATTCCAGTTAGAAGACTCAGACAAGCAGGCAATGGAAAAGGCGAGAGCCTTTTCTGCCCTCTCCTAGGACTCAGGGGACCTTCTGCCCATCAGAGAAAGCAATACATTAGCAGACCCTCCAAGGGTCCCTATCTTCCAGGCACAGTCCCAGATTTACAGACATCATCCCAGTTTCTGTTTTGATTCCGGAATGTCCCACTTTTCCTTAGGATGTCCCTATTTTCAGTGGAGAAATGTTGGAGGGTATGGAGTTATCTGACCCCCAAGCCGCCTGAAGGCAACCCTGTATAGGGAAGTTTTTTTTTAATGTTTTATGTTTTGTTATGTTTTAAAATATGTTGGAAGCTGCCCAGAGTGGCTGGGGCAACCCAGTAAGATGTGTGGGGTATAAATAGTAAAATTATTATTATGGAATTGGCCGTTCCTATTTTCATCGGAGAAATGTTGGAGGGTGTGCATTAGTTAGACAAATAATCTGGCCTGGTATATAGGGCAGTGTCTTGTATTCCTAGTTGGCTGCTAGATATAATATACCTTTACCCCATAGGATTCTGTCTGGATCCTGAGGACTTTCTCTGCGTGTCCCCATTGAGGGACAATGAGAAAACAGGTCTTCTCTGCAGTAGCCCCCACCTCACCCGCTTGATGGAATGCTCTTCCCAGGGAGACCCACCAATGTTATCATAACTTTATTATAATTCTGGTGCTAACAAAGACATTTCCTAGGCATTTGAGCAGCACCAATGATATGACACTGTACTGCTAAATCTGGTTGCTGTTTTGTTTAAATACTGCTTATGTGATTCTTACTGAGTGTTTTTTAAAAAATACTTTGGTTGTAAAATGGTTCCAGACTTTTTTTAAAGTGGGAAGCAATGTATAAATTGAATTCACCTAACTTAACCCAACCTACTTGTAGTAGTAGAACTTAATGCAGGACTCCGTCTCCACAGTACAATGTAAAATTTGACTTTCCTAACAGTCTTAAAGTTAAGCACTCTGCTTAGCTGGTTTAAGTCTCGTCTAGATATACAGTACTATGCTGCTTTTGTTTTTCTTCTGTATTTGTAGTTCTTTTTTCTGGGGAGGGGGGTGGTTCGCTTGACTTCCTTCAATCATTGTTATTTCACATTTAACCAAACCTACTACCATGTGTCAGGACAACCCATCAAAGGGGCCCAGTTTCACACATGCAAGGACCATAGCTGTCAACTTTTCCCTTTTTTAAGGGAAATTCCCTTATTCCGAATAGGATTCCTTGCAAGAAAAGGGAACAGTTGACAGCTATGGCAAGGACACACCGTTTGAGACTACATTTGATCTTTGGAGCCCCTCTCTTTCTGGTTAATAGGAGGTAGGGAAAAGATGCTCTTAAGATGTGCTGCATTTTTGTAAACTAGTCTTGAAATACATCCTTTTTTCAGGTAAACATCACTATCTACCATGTGACATCAAATTATTTCTTTCTTCCTTCCCTCCTTAGGGTCAAAAAGCTTGGATAGAAAAAACCTTTTTCAAGAGGGAGTGTATCTACATAATTGCCAACAGCAAAGATGCTACCAGGTGACCCATCTTCTGCTTCTGCATGTTGGTTTTGCGCACCAAACAAGCAATCTTTTGTCAGCAGCAGGAGGAGCAGCCCTCATGGGAAAATGGGGGGCAGGTGCTCTCCCTCCCCAGAATTTGAGGCAGCCACTTTCATTGCTCAGAAACAAGTAGGGCGTGTCAGCCAGGATCAGGCTCCAGGCAGCTGGGCTCCAGGATCGGGGGGGGAGCTGGAGTCAGTGCAAGTGGGAAAAAGGATGAAGCTGGTCCAAACAGGCAGGTATTGTATACCAAGGCAGGAGTAGAGGGCAAGAGGGCAAGAACCAGGTGCACATTAAAAGACATGCAGGGGGCAGTTTTATTTTTAAAAATCGGTATTTAGACAGCATCCTACATAATTAAAATGCTGTGGCAGTGTTCAGAAATATAGGCAACTTGCTCTTGACTAGGGCTTTACAAGGCCTGGTAAACTGTGACAGGCCCTCGAGGTCAGCTGACAGGCTGCTCAGGCAGGCTGGTTCTGCAGCCTCCTTGGTACCCTTGAAGCAGAGAGCTCAGGCTGCCAGTGATTCAGAAGGAAAGATGCTGGAGTCTGGCTTCTTGGAGCCCCAGCTGAAAAGCTTCCATGGCACCTTATAACTGAGAGAGAAAGGGCAGACTTCTAGGTGGTATAAGCAGATCTGACAGTTTTCTGTGCGTCTGCTTGTGTGTGCAGTGCTGCACGGAACTTGGCAGAAGATGAGCATACCATTTTGGCCCCAAAACATGCTCTGATACGTGATTTTTATTCCCTCCTCAGGGTCTAACTGATTTGCTTCATCTTTTTTTATATTAAAAAAAACCCCAAACTTGAATGCCTGAAAAAGTGCACTGATTAGTCAGGTGTCAGGATTCCCACACTCAGCATTAAAACTGCAGATGGAAAGCACTGTCTTAAAAGAGGTATTCTCCCCCTTTCTCATTCAGGAGGGAATATCCATTCTAAGATGTTGCAAGCCATGTGCAACAACCCAAAACAAAGGAAGCAAGCCTTTTCTTTTTACTTGGATGAAAATATATGCAAAATCAATCCATTAATTAATCTACTAAAACCCCTGTAATCAACTAAGTCCCTGTCTTTCACCACAAGGGGCAACATCCCTATTAGATTTTTAAACATGAAGAGGGGAATGTTCTAAGTCAACTGCTGGCTGCAGGCTCACAGTTGCTCTTCGCCCTCAGGTGCTGCTGTGGCCAGCTTCTTACACAACACACCCCAATTCCTCCGAGTATAACTGCGAACAAGAATGAAGAAGACGCAACGAAGCAGGTGGATACTCAGCCTGAGAAGTGGTTTGTCAGTAAGCACACCCAGGCACTCCCAACTGATGCCTATGGAAATCTTGAGTTCCAAGGTGGAGGCCACACCAACAAGTCCATGGTATGTGGTAACCTCTATTTCACCAATAGAGACAATATAGCCCAGTGAAGAGAGGGGTAGATTTCCAAAGCCTGGCAAGGGGAATGTCCTTAGAGTGGCTGGAGAAACCCAGCCAGATGGGCAGGATATAAAAAATAAATAGATAGATGATGATGTTGTTGTTATTATTATTATTATTATTATTATTATTATTATTATTATACAATGACCAGATTCCAGTTTTTGTTTAAAGTGAGTTTGGGAAAGTGAATTCTTCCTTTGGCAACTAGACCACATTGAGGGAAGCCCAAAATCTTAAGACTGCTGACATTGGTGAAGCAGTGAAGATAAAACGTGCCATTGAGTTGCAAGTGAGGAGGCTTCCCAGTAAGCAAGGATAGGGGAATCCTCCATATAGCACATGAAGGGGAAAGGGTCGATTAACCCCTTCTTCCTTACACCTGGATTTAGAGATGCGTTTTTGCTGTTGTTGCAGCTATCAGTTGTATCATCAAAAGTGGCACAGTCCTGTCCCCCACAGTCCACCTTTTGTTTAGACTGGGCAAAGACACCTTGTGTCTTTGGAAGGGAGCTGAGCTCCTCCCCCTCTTGCTCTTGAAACATTAGCTTGGTCTTTTACGGTGCCACAAGACGCCTTGTTCTTTATGTTGCATTATTGATTTGCAAGCCTGTCTTTGCTACCTTTGCTGTGTCCCTCTGATTTGCCTGCGCATGTGCAGAGTAGCAGAATCTTAGAATGATCATAGAATCGTAGAACTGGAAGGGACCCCAGGGGTCATCTTGTCCAGCCCCCTGCAATGCCAGAATCTCAGCCAAAACCTATCATGAAACTCTGCATTGCATTATGCTCTGGGCCATCAAATAAAAAAGAACAGCAGTAGATTTAGGATAGGCAATAGAAAACATTTATTCATACAACACATACTTTCCTTTCTGCGAGACACAGTGCTGCTGGCCAGTGACTCTGATGGCTTTAAAAGGGAATTGAGTGATCGATCAATAGCTGTTAGTTGCATTAGCTGGCAAAACCTCCCTATTCAGAGGGAGTGTACCTCCAAATGCTAGATGTTGGGGAGAAACATCAGGAGAGGGCCATTGCCTTGTGGATTTGCTTCGTGTGCACCTGCTTGGCCAGTATGGGAAGCTAAACTCGGTGAACTTTGGATCTGATTGAGGAGCATCTGATACATATATGCTGCTTAATCAACAAAACCCTCTAAGTGGTTTACATAAAACGACATGAAATATTTTTTTAAGATACTATTAAAATCACACCTCAGAAAACAAATACACATAACATTTATGAAAATATAAGTGAAACCAGCAGTTTTGCAACAAATATACATAATAAAACTACATATCTGGCCAAGAAGTTTTTAGCAGGCACCGAAAGCAAGACAGCAAAGGCACCTGTCTAATATCAGTGGACAGGGAGTTCCAGAGTTGACAGTGCTGCCACACTGAAGGATAAATTTCTTGCAGACGTTAAGTGGCACTTACAAAGAGCAGGCATGGATGGGGTAAAGAGATCCTTTAAGTAAGCTGATCCCAGCTGCTAAGCTGTTTGTGTCCACCTGCCTTGCAGTACATCCGAGTGTCATATGACACAAAGCCAGACTCGCTGCTCCACCTGATGGTGAAAGACTGGCAGCTGGAACTCCCCAAGCTCCTAATATCCATCCACGGGGGACTGCAGAACTTCGAGCTGCAACCCAAGCTGAAGCAAGTGTTTGGGAAGGGCCTCATCAAGGCCGCCATGACCACAGGCGCTTGGATCTTCACCGGGGGAGTCAGTACAGGTGAGAAGTGCAATCTTGGCCTGCTTACTTATATGCTGACCTTTGGCTGATGAAAACTATTAGCCTGTCCCCAACGTAATGTTTTCTTGCCGGGGTCGGGGGGAGAGATGAGCAGGGATTTAATCCAAGGGGCTGTAACTGTGTTGTTTTCATGTTTCCTCTCCTCCCTTGGCCTGTGCTAGGAGCCTTGCCAGAGAGATGTATAAATCCCCGTTTAAGAACCCTGTCTGTTTCTAACAGCCAGTAGTCAAGGTTCAACAGACAACAGACAACACAGTAACAAGACATTTTCATACTATTTTCAGTTCTGCGTGGGACACCTCATAGAACAAAGTGAAACGATGACATCCTGTGCTTTTTTATATTAAACCTTTGTAAATGTGGATCTTCTTATTGCAAACTTTTGAGTTTTAAAATACTAAACCACCTCAAAACAGACTGAGTCAGGGCAAAAAGTGGAGTGTCACATACAAAGGTGGAAGAAAAGTCATAACCTTGCAGGTTATGTGAAGAGCTGGCCAGTGGAACCCAGACCGCCAACACTGGTTGCTTGATAAGGCAGGGTTTATTGTGCTCCTGTGCATGCGTGTGAAAGAGGGAGGCTGGGAGGGTGACTGTGAGAACAGACTTTTAATGAACTGTGACTCTGGCATGCCCATCCATGCACACAACTGAAATGGAGTGGGACTCAGTCCCAGTTAATAAGTCCCATCACTTTCATTGGGAATGAGTCGAGACTCACTTTTGCTGGGTGAGGCTTAAAGTACTCAATTATTTCTAAAGATTTGGTGCATTTAAAACCTTTTAAGCAACCTTCCTGAAAACACTGAAGAACATGGTACCGGTAAAGTAAGGGCCCAGGTTTATGTGTCTCTTCCATTAAAGCAGATTCAGGGCAAGTGCTCACTGGAGTATCTTAATAAATGAGAAATGAAGGGGGTGTTTTTACTGGAGAAGGCTCTCTCTGTCTCCCTCTGTGATGTATGCAGCTGTCCCCCAGGGAAGACTCTAACAGACTCGATCCCTCCTGTAGGTGTCATTCGCCACGTTGGAGATGCCTTGAAAGATCACTCTTCCAAGTCCAGAGGACGCATCTGTGCCATAGGAATTGCTCCGTGGGGCATTGTGGAAAACAAGGAGGATCTGATTGGGAAAGATGTAAGTTCCCACACATTCTGTGGATTTTTGCCAGATTCTCTTGTTCTCACTGCCTTTGATTTGCTGGGATCCCTTGATTCTTATCAGCAAATCAGGTGATGCATTAAAGGGTTGGTTGTGTCGCCTTATGCAGCGCTGCATCCCAAGGTCAGGGCAGGAGTTTTGAAGGAAGGGAGAGGGTGGGGGTTGCCACTTTCTGTGCATTCTTTTGTCAACCACGTTAAAGGCAGAAATCAACAGGTGAAGCTTTCCCCAGCTCAGAGATATGCAGCACCATGTCCAGTCATTTAAAAGGAGGCAATCTTCACAGAGCTTTGGAGGCCCTTCTCACAGGCCACATTCACACAATACATGTAAAGCACTGAAGTTTATTACGGGTGCTAAGAGTTGTTAGGGAACACCCCCCCCATTCCCCTCTAGAGAACTCCAGTTCCCAAAGTTCCCTGGGGAAAGGGGTTGACTGTTAAATCGTTCATTTTCTCTTTGCCTTTAGCCACCTTTAGCTCAGGTTGAATGTAGCGCTAAATATTTATTTATTTATTTATTTATTTTGTTATGTATACCCTGCTCATCTGACTGAGTTTCCCCAGCACCTCTGGGCGGCTTACAGCATACATAAAAACATAGTAAAACATCAAACATTAAAAACTTCCTGATACAGTGTGGCCTTCAGGTGTCTTCTAAAATCTGTGTAGTTCTTTATTTCCTTGACATCTGAAGGGTGTTCCACAGGGAGGGTGCCACTACTGAGAAGGCCTTCTGCCTGGTTTCCTGTAACTTCACTTCTCGCAGGAAGGGAACCAACAGAAGACCCTCAGTGGAAGACCTCAATGACCGATGATAATCTCTTAGCATGAGGGGGAGGGCCCAACTTTTTCTAGCCCAAGGGCAAGATTTTGTTCTGTGCAGCCTTCCGAGGGCCAGCTGCCAGCAGTGATCAGGGCCAAGTGCGAAAGTGAGCAGAGCAGCTACTGTGAATTTAGCCTTTGTGCAGCAAGCTGTTTTCTACACACTCTTGCAGATCCCTCTTTATCCTCCCTCCAGGCAGGCGAGAAGCATCAGCCTTCCAGCCAGCTGCAAAGCAGGACTGGTGTGGGCGTGGCTTCAGAGCCTGGAGAGAGCCCCCCCACAAGTCAAGCAGAGAGGCTGGGGGGGGAAGCCCTGCATCTGGCCCCAAGGTCTAAGGATTCCCAGCCCTGGTTTAGTGTTACATGAATGACATATCCTCCAAGTGTCCCGATTTTCCAGGGACAGTCCCAGAATTACAAAAGCTACCCCGGCTTTTGATTTGATCCCATTTCGACTGGGGGGGGCAGCTGCCAGGGAGGGAGCAGCCTGTGGCCTCTCCATGGCTGTTGCCGGCCTCCTCCCTTGGGCAGCTCACAGAGGCTGCTGGAGAGCGGGTGAGGAGGAAGAGAGGTCGCCACCCCAGAGGTCCAGCCCCATGCCATGTGCCAGCTCTGAGGGGCAGGGGCCCCCTGGGCGGGAAACGAGGAGGAGCAGAGCACAAAGGGGTCTTGTTGTTGTTTTTAATGCTTTGTGCAGCCGCATCTAATATTGCCCCTTTCTAAAATTTATTTATTGGTGGGTGCTTTTCTTTTTGTAAATCTACCAAAGAAAAAAATGAAACCAGGATTAAGGGGTTTTCTCAGGATGGTGGCGGGGTGTGTGCTGTGTCCTGTTGCTGAAGGGGGGGGGGTGGAAATGCTCTGTAGGGAGGGGGACAAAAATGGGAGATCAAGGAGGATCAGCTGGGGGGGAGTGAGAAATGTCCCTATTTTCATCTGAGGAATGAATGAGGGTATGGAACGAGCCCCAGCTGCCCAGCTCCCCACTCCTCAAGGGGGGAGGGCTCAGGCGTTTCCACTTGCAATCAAATGCATGGATCAGAATATGGCTTATCATTCAGATTTTGCACATCTCTGGACAGTGTTCTCAACTCTAAACATATAAAAATGCAATTTGAAACACATCTTTAAAGTTTAATCTGTTTTTAAAGAAATGTTTATTTTGAAAGGAAATAAATATTCCAGAGTATGTGGTGTATGAATATGCAAATATTCATGGAAGTTTGAGGAGGGGTGGGGATGCAGATTAATGTGGCAGTGGGACAGAATAGGTTTATGCACAAACACATGCAACAATGACATTATGCATTGTCAAATCCACATTTAAAGTAACCACAGTTTCCCTGAATTTTTCAGACATAAATGGGACACTGCTTAGTATGAAAGCAATCTCCTCCTTGCTGCTGTGCCAGAGGGGCAGGGCAGGTGCAAGTCTGAGTATGGCTGGATCTCATTCATCTAGTGCTTTAGTATTAGGTCTCTTGTGTGCAGAAAAAAAGCAGAATGCAAATATTAGTATCAGTAAATCTTAGTTTTTGGAGTCTTGTGGCTTGGATAGCTGGGATAGAAGAGGAGAATTCAACAGCTGCATTGTTCTTATGCCTTTATGACAAGCTGCAGCTAGCAAACGTCTGCCTCCAACTTCACTCTTCCCCTTTGCACCCCAGACAGAATGAAGAGCTACCCAGTGGCTGACAGCTACAGTCATACCTTGGAAGCTGAACGGAATCCGTTCCGGAAGTCCATTCTACTTCCAAAACGTTCTACTTCCAAGGCGCAGCTTCCGATTGGCTGCAGGAGCTTCCTGCACTCAATCGGAAGCCACAGAAGCCCCATCAGACATTCAGCTTCCAAAAGAATGTTTGCAAACCAGAACACTCTCTTCTGGGTTTGCAGTGTTTGGGAACCAAAATGTTCGACTGGCTTTGCCTCCCCAAAGGATTCTGGGAATTCTAGTTTGGCAAGGTTTTTGAGAGATCTCTAGCTTCCTGATTACAGTTCCCAAAGATTCCTGAAGGAGATGAAATTACTGGTTAAGCTAGTTGAAGTCCAGCATTCCCAGAATCCAGATGCAAGTGCAAATATGACCCAGTTTTTATTTGTTTCTATTTTCTTTTTAAATTAAAAATGCCCTTTTCTTTTTGACAGGTGACAAGAGTTTATCAAACCATGTCAAACCCACTAAGCAAACTCTCTGTGCTCAACAGTTCCCATACGCACTTCATCCTGGCCGACAATGGCACCTTTGGCAAATACGGGGCAGAAGTGAAACTGAGGCGCCAGCTGGAGAAGCACATCTCACTCCAAAAAATCAACACACGTAAGTTGGCCAGAGATATATAGCTCATTCACAAAACAGGTCACTGCTAAGTGCAGAATAACCTCATGGGTAGAACTCCCTATCAAAAATCCGTAGAAGATCAATAGACCTCACCAGGGCCAGGCCAGCAATGAGGTAGCAGGATCCACAGGGCCAGCAGATCTGCCCCCCAAGAAATGCATCACTCTTAGATCCTTATTCCCCCCCCCCCTTGTGCTTAATGCAGAGCTTCACTCCCCCTTCTTCCCTGGAGGGGGGCATTTTGTGGTTCACCTGAGATGTCAAAATGTCTTGGGCCAGCGCTGGACCTTACTGGGAGAAGTCCAACAGGAAGGGCATGGGCATCTTTCCTCTGGGAGGCCATTCCTCAGTTTCTGTGGGGGCACAATGGAAGAGGCCCCCTGCTCTTTCTGTCAGAGTGCAGGTGCTGGCGACTCCCGCTTTGCATCCCCTGCTCATACACTTGCCCGCTGCTACCCAAGAGTGATGTAAGTGGCTGGCAGAGTGGGCTGTATTCGTGGTGGTGAATGCAGGTGTATCACCCTGAGCAAATGCAGCAAGGAATCATGGGAAATGCCAGTTTCCTGCCATGGATGCCTATATGACGCCCACGGCTGGTAAACACACATTTGTTGCACCCACACGTTATATGTATTGACTTGTAAGTGCACATTTATTTGTTTATTGGCCTCAGCTGCCAGCACTTTCCGTCTTCTGTAGATGTGCAGGCGCACTGGTGGTCTGAGGCAATATATCCTGTATATACAGAATGGGTCCTCTTTCTTTCTTTGTTCTTTGTACACTGAATTACACCACTGCCTGTGAAATCAGTGCCCTGACTCTGAAAACATACCAAAACTAACAGGCCTTCTACTGCCAGACCCATATTAAAAACTGTGCATGGATGCTAATTGCTGCCCTTGTTGGCAATTCTGGCAGAAAGGTGGAGGCATCTGCTGGGCACATAGGTTGACTTGCCAGCTCAGGCTCAGAACCTGCTCTGGTGCCCAGGCTCAATCCCGAAATATGGTTAGGGAGGTGTTTCTCTCCCTCTCCTGTAATACTAGAAGTGTGGCTTATCCCATGAAAATGAGAGGTGGTCATTTTGGGACATAAATATGGAGTTTGTTGCCACAAGATGTGAGGAGAGCTTAGTTATCTTTAAAAATGGATAAGAGAAATTCGTGGAAGAGGAGATGAGGCCTGTCTGTGGCTTCTCACCACGATGACTCTATGGAGCCTCCTTGTTCAGAAGCAGCAGGCTGCTGAATACCAGCGCTGTGGAACAACAATACTCCCTGCTTGATCCTCAGTTGGACTTTGTGGAAAGCATGGCTTCCATGGAGCTGTCCCTGAATAAGTTTGGCCCAACTCATAGTCGTGAACATGCCTTAGACCTGGTATTCACCTCTAGTGACGTGGGTGATCTGACACTAAGTAAAAGCAAAACAAAAGAAGTGCCATGGTTGGATCACTTGCTGGTGCAACTGGACTTCTCTGCATCCCTTCCCCTCTGCAGGGAGGTGGGACCGATTCGGATGGTCCGCCCCCACCACTTAATGGATCCAAATGGTTTCCAGAGAGTGGTAGGGGATGTGTTATCCCATGTTGATGGCCTTTCAGCTGATTCCCTGGTGGTCCGCTGGAATGCAGAGTTAACCAGGGCTATTGAGTGTCTGGCTCCAAAGTGTCCTCTCTGATTGCATGGAACCCGGACAGCCCCATGGTTTTCCCCAGAGCTGAGGGCGATGAAACAATCGCTGAGACGGCTGGAGCACCGGTGGCAGAAAACTCATTCTGAATCCGACAGGGCACAGGTTAGAGCTCAACATTGAACCTACCAAGTGGCGATAGCAATGGCGAAGAGGACTTCCTTCAATTCAAAGTGTTGGTGCTGACCTTTAAGCCCCTAAACAGCCTCAGCCCAGTATACCTGAAGGAGCGTCTCCACCCCCATCGTTCAGCCGGGACACTGAGGTCCAGCTCTGAGGGCCTTCTGGCGGTTGCCTCGCTGCAAAGAAGTGAGGTTACAAGGAACCAGGCAGAGGGCCTTCTCAGTAGTGGCACCTGCCCTGTGGAACGCCCTCCCATCAGATGCCAAAGAAATAAACAACTATCTGACTTTTAGAAGACATCTGAAGGCAGCCCTGTTTAGGGAAGCTTTTAATACTGGATGAATCATTGTATTTCAATATTAGAGGTGTCATTAGAGGTGTCATTAGAGGTGTCTGAATACATTTCAGTCGTCTTTTGATTTACAAAGAGCAGCTGCTGAAAGTAGCCAAGCTGTGGGCTCCTCTGGATGACCAATTTTTTGAGCATTCAAAGCTTGTACAGAGGTTAGACCATGTCTAATCTTGAAGGAGCATTCGTTCTGACGTATTTCAATCTCTCCTGCAAAACAGTGGGACTTGGAGGGTCTTTATGCAGTTCATTTTCCTGATTAAAATCATTGGCAATTAAAGAAACAAACCAAAACCTATGTGTGAATGGACTGCCTATTTGTTGGAGCTCAGCAGTGGAAGCGGGATATTGGTGACCAGCCTCATGAACCACTTCTGTGCGCATAGGGTCCATTAATAATAATAATAAATTTTATTTATATCCCGCCCTCCCCAGCCGAAGCCGGGCTCAGGGCGGCTAACAACAATAAAATGGGGGGTACCCCTGGGGGGTATCCAGGGGGTCGGAGTTCCTTATCCGGAGGCTACAAAGTCTGGCCTTTTGAGCCCCACAATCTTCCAAGCGCCCCTGTAATTCTGCTTAGTTAGGGCCGGCCCTATCATTAGACAGAATGAGGTGTCCACCTCAGGCAGCAGATGGTAGCCCTTCCAGAGCCCTTCTCTTGGAAGGCAGAGCTGTGTATGGCACATGGCCTGTCTCTGGTCCGCTATACTAACCTGCCACCTCAAAGTGCAATACAGGATGCAAGATTCAGTTGCCACTCCAGCTGGCTTCTATATGTGGAATGGAGAGAGGGGCGGAGAGAGAGAGAGAGAGAGAGAGAGAGAGAGAGAGAGAGAGAGAGAGAACACACACCATCTTGCCTTTCACCTCAGGCAGCAAAATGCTTGGCCCATGGTTGAGGCATGGGGAGCCTGTGATACTCTAGGGTCACATTCATACCATACATTTAAGGGTCACAAAACCACTATAAATAGTCCCCTAAAGAATTATGGAAGTCATTCTTTGTTATGGGTGCTGAGAGTTGTTAGGAGACCCCTATTCCCCTCACAGAGCTACAATTTCCAGAGTTCACTGGGAAGAGGGATTGGTTGTTAAATTGCTCTTGGAATTATAGCTCTCAGCACCCTTAACAAGCTACAGTTCCCAGGATTCTTTGAGGGAAGCCACAACAGTTTAAAGTGGTAGTGAAGTGCTGTAGAGGTGTGGTGCGAATGTGGCCTGGGACTCTGATCAGCCAGTATGGCCAGGAGTCAGGAATGGTGGCAACTGGAATCCCACAGCATCTGGAGGGCCACTGGGTTTCTCACCCCTCCCTAGAGAGAAGTCTAAAGTAAGGGTATTGCTGGTTTGGAAGTAGGGATATGGTGTTCAAAGTGCTCTCTCCCCCATTTGTCTAATGTGCATGAAAAAGAGAATGTGGGTTTTCTTCTGCTTTTTTTGTTGTTCAGCTTTTACTACATCTTGAGACTAATCTCCTTATAACTCTGCCTGACCCCCAGCATTTTGAATTTAAGCACCTACTTCCTGAGGACATATCATGCCAAGTGCGAGATCATTATTTTTCTACTTTTAGTCCTCCAACTTCCTGACCTGTGACCAAGCCTGCCTGGATCCTGTGACCTATGGGCTTCCCTTTGTCATCCTATGCCTGGAGATCACAGTGAGGCAGGGACAGCAAAGGGGTGCTCAACTGTCCTCTCTAACGCCGACCGACCATTATTTGCATCCTAACAATTAACAGCTGGTAGTGCTCCTCAGGAGAGCCTTTAGATGGCTGTCATTTTGCAGGCGGCATGTCTCCATAACAAACACATGCCATTTCTATGCCACTGTAACTGCTGTGCCCTCTGTTGAGTTTTACAAGCTGTTCATCAAAAGTACTGTGCAATTTCACAGATTATTCAGCAGCTTCTCCTTGTCTTATGCCCTGGTATTTGTACGGCATCCTGCTTCACTGAGAACCTGAAGTTTCCACTCTTTCAAAACATTCACTTGGTGTTTAATGGCCTGTTTGGTTTGTCCTCCAGGGCTGGGGCAGGGGGTCCCTGTGGTTGGACTGATAGTCGAAGGTGGTCCCAATGTGATATCCATCGTCTTGGAGTGTCTGCGTGAAGAGCCGCCACTTCCTGTTGTCATCTGTGATGGCAGCGGACGAGCGTCAGACATCTTATCGTTTGCACACAAGTACTCAGAAGAAGGAGGGTAAGAATAACTGACATGTTAGAACTGGTGTAACGTGGTGGTTAGGAGACTGAGTCCCTATTCATACGTAGCACCAAAGGATGCTGTGACCAGCTACACAATGTTGTGCCTATGCACACTCTCCTTCCTCTTGCTAACCTTATTTCCATGTTCTGGAGAAACCACAATTTGCCATTGTCCCGGTGCACACTTATCACTGAACACTATGCGAACAAGCTTGATCAAGCCATGAGCTCGAGTGCCCCCGCTCCCCCAGCACATGCCAGAGGAGATGGGAAGCATCCTGGTTTAACCTAACCACAGTTTGCTGCTACATACAAACTTGGACAAATTATGTTTAGTTTCAGCTTTAAACTTTATTGAAACAAGCCATGGCTAAACCATGATTTCTGATCTTGATTTGCTTTGATGAACCACAGTCTAAAAGAAACCACAGTTTCAGCTTTGGAGATAACAACACATCACATTGAGCTTAAACAGGGAAGTGGACACTTCCAATCTCTTCCTTGTGTCTGGACTGGATGAGGAGAGGGGAGCTGAGAGTACTGAAGTTAGAGGCTTGTGCACTGTTCCTCATATGGAGCTAAACGGTGGGTTTAGTGTAACATCCAAACCAGACTGTTATGTTCAAACAAACCAAATAATGCATGTGAAGACTAGGAGAGGAGGGAGTGCACAATGAAAGTCTTATTTGCATGGTGCAAAACCTGAGCTGTTGACCAAGGTTCCAATATTCGCTCCTCTATGAACTTGCTGGAGGACTTTCTGTCAGGGGTCAGAAACTTCAAGCTTAGGGGCTGAATGTGGCTCTCCAAGCCTCTCTACCCAGCCCTTGTGACCTTCCCCAAGCTATGACCCCTCCCCAGACCACACCCCTCACTAGCCCTGCTTCACACCCTTCACAAGTGTTTTTGCCTGGCTGGAATGCATCCTTCAGCTGCGATAATTCCTTGTGTGGATGGAGTAATGAAACCTCTGGCTTTTGCATGGCTGGGGTCTTACCTACTCTACATCTGTTGCTCTGCCCACTTTTGCTGCTGGACATGCCCAGCACAGCTAATGTGGTGTTGGACTAAGAGCTGGGAGACCTGGGTTCAAATCTTCACTCAGCCATGAAGCTCACTGGGTGACCTTGGGCCAATTGCTGCCTCTCAGCCTAGCCTACCTCACAGGGCTATTGTGGAGATTAAATAAGGAGGGCGAGAACAATGTACAGCTCCTTGGAGAAAAAAGGATGCATGCAATAAATAGATAAATGTGGCATTCAGAAAGTTGCCTACAAGGGAATGCAGCCCTCAGACTCCAAAGAATTCCCTCCCCCTGCTTTTTAGGCACTGCTCAGTTTCAGTCCTTTGTCCTCAAAGTAACAATCATTACAGCCTGTAGGCCAGATCCAATGTTAGTTCTGCTCACAGTGGACCCACTGAAATGAATGAGCACAACTATCTTTTAATGGGTCTACTCAGAGTAGGACTACCTTAGATACAACCCTTAATTCACAGGGTGGTTGCAAGGATGACCAAAATAATGTATGCAGAGAGCTTTGAAAACCCTCAGGTATTATATAAATGCTAAGTATTACATTATTTAGATGTATTAATAAAAATGGGAACTTCAACTTCAGTATGCTCCAGAGCAGATGTTCCATTTTTAAATATATTACTCACCAGCTTAATTTTCACAATTTCACCCCCACCACTTTTTTAAGAGAAAACCAAAGGCCTCTTCTCTCTGAGTTAACCTCAGAAGCTTCTTGCTGATCTGGCATCTCTGTGCTGGATCTCTCAGGCCCTGTCAGCCAAAGCCCAGGATCTGATAAAGGTTCTCAGGCTAAACAGCTTCCCTGATAACAGGGGCCTTTGGGGAGCTCTCTCACCTCATTCTGATTAGAGAGCAGAATTTCCCAAGAAAGTCTGAGTGAATTGCCTGCTGGCCAAATTGAAATAAGAGGAAATTGGCCAAGGTTAGAAGGGCTCTCATCACAGTGTGCTCAGGGAGGAGTGAGATAGCTTTTGAAGTCTTTTTCAGCCACATCTGATGTACTAGGACCTGTTTTTATGAACTAGCAAAATACCTGGCGGTGTGGTATAGTTGGACATAGATCTGGAAGACGAGGGCTCACAACTCCCACTTGGCCATGAAGCTGCCTGGGTGACCTTGGACCAGTCACTGCCTCTCAGCCTACCTTGCAGGGCTGTTGTGGGGAAGAACCATGTATGCCGCCTTGAGCAGCTTGGAGGAAAAGGTGGCGTATAAATGCAATCAGTCAATCAATAAGAAATTAAGAGAGTAATTCTTAAATACATACTGGGTTAAAAGTGGGTCCTGGGTCTTTAAAAAGTTGAAGACTACTGTTCTAATTTGAGGGAATTTGTCATGCACATGACGTGGCTTTACACCGTATGCTCAGACAAATAAAGATTAAACAGTTAGAATTGGTTAAACTGGTTAAAATTATATAATGAAGACTGCAGTCTTATGCATCATTGAATTCAGTGGGACTTACTTTGAGGAGAGCAACACAAGTTTGTACTCCAAGGGTTGTTTTCTGAAAACCAAACAAAAAAAATCCATTTGCCTTCATTCCTGAAGTCCAAGCATGAAAATATTTGTTTTCTGTTTTGTCTCTTGACTTTAGCATCATAAGTGAGTCTCTGAGGGACCAGTTGCTTGTCACCATTCAGAAAACCTTTAACTACAGCAGGAACCAAGCGCACCAGCTGTTTGTTATTCTCATGGAGTGCATGAAAAAGAAAGAACTTGTAAGCATCTTACACTTCACTTGCAAAACCAATTGAGTATCAGGGCCAAACATGGCATGGGGGACGCTTCTCAAATGAGAGGCCCTGGGCACATTCTTTTTCAAGCAAAAGCAGCCAGAACCAGATCAAGGCCACAGCTGCACAGCGGGAGGAGAGAGCAAACCCTTTCCTCCCTCAGCCAGCTTCCTGCTGAAAAATCACACACCACGCAGTGGAGGAGGAGGAGGGGGAACACTCGTGATGGAAGCCACAGCCGGGGCAAAAGGGTGACAGGCACCTCCCAAAGCCTGACCCACCTTCCTCACTCGTAACCTCCAACCCTCACTTCTCGTTTGGACCCAAGAGTGAGATCTGAGGAGTTCCAGGGATAGGCAATGTGGTGCCCACCGTATGTTGTTGGGCTACAGCTCCCAAATCCCCGATCATTGGTTTTGATGGCTAGGGCTAATGGGAGCTGGAGTTCAACATTGTTACCTTTAAAATTGATTCATTGCTGAATAATGATTTGGGACATCAGAGTGCCACTGCTGATCAGTGTGGGCAATATCGCCCTAGATCAGCCTTCCCCAGCCTGGTGCCTTCCAAATATTTGAACTATGACTAGAAGTATGGACTAGAAAGACAAATGGGAATATGTTACTTAGCCTGATCCCATCTGCATCCATGTTGGAGTGACACTGGTAGGGAAAAACCCCTCTTCCACATTAACTGGATTTAAGTCAATACCATTCTTTGGCTAATCAGCATTTTAGGACTTTGCCACCCCTTTAGATATTTAGCCAGTCACGTGGCACCACCATCTGGGCTAGTAGGGAAGCCCTTCTGATTACATAATCTGTCCATCAAGCTTCTTAAAGGCCTCCATCAACAAATGACTTTTTTCGCATCTCCCTCCTCACAAAATAAAGTAAGCAAATTACAGAATGTACATTTTTCAGCAATAGCAATTAGAGGACATTTCCTCTTTTATTTATTTGTTTTTGACAAGAAGTTAGGAGACAAATTTGATCAGATTAAATATAAATCCCAGTGTTCCAGTCTGAGGATAAATTGTCTCCCTCTCCATCTCTCCTGTGCCAATTGAATGATACTCTTTATGGCTTTGCAGACCTCTCCATGGACCAGAGCAGCATATTATTTAAAAACCAAGGCTACAATCCGTGGCTGAGTGGCACAGCAGCCTATAAGGCAGCCTTATTCTACCTGACTATGCTGATTGGGGCTGATGGGAGTTGTAGTCCAGAACATTTGGAGGGCACGAGGTTAGCGAAGGAGAAAGGCTCAGGGCAGACATGATGGCAAAGTCCCGCTTGAACCAATCTTGCTGATACTCAACTTCACCCCACCATTTTAGTTCCTGCCAATGCTTCTGCTGTGCAACACAGCTGTGTTGTGCAAGAGGCATGCTCAGAATCCTTGGAAGCCCTTCCCTGTGTCCTGTCTCCATCTGAGGCCTGGCGGATGGGCACGCATGGTGACATGGCTTTCTTGGTGGCCAGACCTCATCTACAGAACACCATGTCCTGGGAAGCCTGCCTAGAGCAATGCTTGCCTGACTTCCTGAGCATGACCAAAATTTGACTTTTTGGGACTGCTTTGGGGGATATTGTGTTCAGTTGTTGGGAGCATCACTGATACATGCAAGCAGTAGAGCTACGCAGAAGAGCATGGAGGTGTTGCGCTTACACTTTCCCTTCACTTTTTGCTGAACTTTTAGATCACCGTGTTCCGCATGGGCTCTGAGGGGCAGCAGGATATTGAGATGTCCATCTTAACAGCTCTACTTAAAGGTGAGCTATTCAAGCAAGAATACGGAAAACTGATGAAATATATCACCTCCATTTGCATATCCGGCTAGCAAGCCAACTGACTCATGAATCTCTAGGTTAATTATGTACCAAATGTTAAATGTTTATTTGGGCTCACTTAGAATATAGAGTAGCACAGCATATAGAGGTTACATCTGCTACTGAATTTTCCATTACATTCTTTTTCCTGAACTTTTCCTTCTACCCTAGGATCATATGTGCTAAAAGATATTGTTTTTCTTTTAATGCAACACAATAAATTACATTGATGGCCACTTGTGCTAAATGTTTAAAAACTGATGGGAGGAGAAGTATGCTAATGAAGTTTTTTGATAATCTAATGTGACTCAGGACATGGAAGAAAAGAGGAGCCCTTCTTTGGTTTTTAAAATGTGAACATGTTTGACTCTTGGCCTGTTCCACCTTCTGCAAATGGTTTATGCTGAATACAGAGTCGGCATAACCAGTCACATTGACTTTCTTCATCATCTATGGTCTGCTCCATGCAGCAGCACTTGAACCAGCCATCCCATACACAAAGGCCACTAGGTGACCTGTAGTAGCAGTGATCTGATTTGCTGTGACCAAACAAGAGAACAGTGATATATGTGACAGCCTGTGTCTTCCTCAGTCACCCTGCCTTTCAACTGTAAGACAGCCACAATAAATCACAGTGCTGCATGGTGAGAAGTATTTCAGAAGCTTATGCAAAAGTTCAGAGGACAGTTCTAAAACGTTTTCACTTTCAACTCAGTTCTTTGGATCCAAGCTATTGTTTTTGAGAGCAGCTGCTACAGTCACCCAGAGGCCTCTGAACACTTCAGAAGCTCCCGGATGAGTAAGACATTAATGTTGCAAGCATGTGTGCCTCCCTGCATTCATACCTTCTATGTCAGATGTGCATACCAGTGGAGGCAGAGGAGATACGCAGTTCCCCACCAATTCTATATTTTCAGTTCACTCAGTTTGCCAAAGATAGGAAAAAGACATATCTCATTCTTGCCTCCCAGCTGAAGCTGTTTTTTCTTGTAGCTTTTGAAACTAACAATTTGATATATTTTTGAGGGAGAAAATACTTCCATCGTAGTGAGTAGGACTGGAGTTCTGATTTGCTTGCTTGCTTATTTAATTGGCTGAGATTCTGTACACTATACACTGAGTGGTAAAAACTTGCTTGTTTGCTTAGGTACTAATGCATCTGCACCAGATCAGCTGAGCTTAGCACTGGCCTGGAACCGTGTGGATATTGCACGCAGTCAAATCTTCGTCTTTGGGCATCACTGGCCGGTAAATCTTTGCATAGAGAGGTTATTTGTTTTTTAAATAAAATAAAATGTCACCACACTCCCACTTCTAGGTTGGACAGCCGTATGATGCTCTACATCAGGGATGACTGGGCAATTAGCAGTAGATCAGCACGGATTTCAGGAGCAAGTAAAGCTGCGTCAGGGTGGGGAGAATCCTCGCAATTGCAGGTCTTGCTTGCTAATTGCTTCTTTCTCAGTCTCAGTGCTCCTCAACTGTAAAGTGGAAGTATCCGGAACACAGGAAGCTGCCTTCTACTGAGCCAGGCCATTGGTCCATCTAGCTTAGTGTTGTCCCCCAGAGTTTTGGGCAGAGGACATTCCTAGCCCGACCTGGAGATGCCAGGATTGAACCTGGGGCTTTTTGCAGCCCCTTCCATCAGTCTTTCACCTGGTCTACTGGCCAGTTTTTTGTTAGAATCCCTGATGCAGACTGAAATGTTGATTGGTATATGCATAGGCAGGGACATATGGGGCTCAGCAACCCCTGAACCTCCATTTTGTGTCCTGCGAACTGCAGCCATTGGGAAGCCTTGCAGTTACGGATGGGACAGCCCCAGAAAAGGAGAAGAAATCTCCGGCACCTCAAGCAAAAGCAGCAAGAGGGAAAGGAAAAGGCAAAAAGAAAGGTGGGAAGCAGAAAGAAGAACCGGAGGAAGAAACAGATCCAAGGAAACTTGAGCTACTGAACTGGGTGAGCTTCAAAATGGCATTGCCTTCCATGGCTATGAACGCCAGTTGTCTCCACCGGTTCATTTACATTTTAAATCACAAACTGATGTGGCAATGTGGAGAGCTGAACTTAAGACTACAAAAATGAGAAACTGAGAGAAACCAAAATGTACACATTCCCCATCCTTGTTGGTAACTGCCCAGAGTAATGCATAAGCCTTGTGTAGGTGAGAAATTAATAAATAGATGAGGTCTGGCTCATGCTTGTGGGAGACCTTGTGTGCTTCAAGCATGCAGGGGATGGGCAGGGACTGCTGCCAGGCAGGGGCGGAGGAAGGGGGTGCGGTGGGGGCAAGCCGCCCCAGGTGTCACCACTGAGGGGACACTCACTGCGGGGCCTATAGCATGCCTGCAGGCTCCACACTGCCCCAAACGGTCCGCCCACCCAGTGGCGTCGCAATGGGGGACGGGGGTGGTGTGCTCCCAGTGCCAAATCTCCAGGGGTGACAAGGCAGCGCCCCACTGCGATGGCGCGAGCAGCCATCATGCCACCGCTGCCACCGCAAATGGAGGATCCTCTACATGACGTGCACCCAGGGGTGGGGCATCACTATGTAGCACACATGTGCAGCGTCGCTACACACGACTCATGTGCCGTACATAGCAAAACCGCACAAGCACGCTACGTAGCAGTTTGCCTGTGGTGCGGTGCTGGGATCCTCTGCTTGCAGCTGAAGCTGCTTGTAGTGGATCCTCCGTTCACAGCTGCAGCCGCGAGCAGAGGATCCCAGCACTGTGCCACCGGCAAACCACGTACGTAGCGACACCCCACCCCCAAGTGCACGTCATGTTTGCCGGTCCGGGTGCCCAAGCAGCTTCCTCCGCCACTGCGCCCGCTGCCTCCCCCTCAACTGTAAGGCAGCTGAGTAGGAGGAGGCAGGCAGACTCCTTGGAGGCCCCACGGAGCATCCTGCCCTGGCTCGCCCCACCCCCACAGGTGGCTGGCTGCACCCCTGAGCGCAGGGCATGCACGCCACCCCAGGTGCCCGATCAGCTCGCTCCACTGCTGCTGCCAGGCAGCACTTATCTGAGGACACTGTTAGTGAGAATCATCATCTTCACATGGGGACTGTCACTGTATGACTTGTACAGTCATTCACAGCAGCCCCCATGTGCTCCTGGTGCATGCATTAGGAAGTGGGGGAACCACATGCAAATGTGTGCTCAATGTGAAATAAATGTAATGTGTAATGAAATAGACCACAGGCAGTGTTATTTTTCTGGGGAAAGAGGTGCCAGAACTCACCACAAACCCTTGTTATCTTAGAATGGCAATGGCAGCCACCTGAGAGGTGCCTGAACTGAGTTCTGGTGAGTTCCAGCTGGAAAAGGTTCTGACCACAAATGATGGTGACACCTCCCAAACACCAGCCTTTGACAAAGCAGGTCTTCCAACATGGCATCTTCACACTGTTTCTATATATTTGGAATTTCAATTCATAGTGCATTCCATCCTCTCTGTAGGTAAATTCCCTAGAGCAAGCGATGCTCGATGCTCTTGTGCTGGATCGGGTGGACTTTGTGAAGCTACTGATTGAAAACGGCGTCAGCATGCAGCGCTTCCTCACCATCCCACGACTGGAAGAGCTTTACAACACTGTGAGTGAACTTTCTAGGAGCCCTTCCAAAACATAAAGGGGGCGGGTGCAGTGGCGTAGCGTGGGTTGTCAGCACCCGGGGCAAGGCAAGTAATTTGCGCCCCCTAACCCGTGGATTTGCGCCCCCTAACACTAACCCCCAGATGTTGCGCCCGGTGTGGCCGGCCCCCCCTGCACCCCCCACGCTAGGCCACTGATCCATAGCTAAAAGCAGAAGTCGACAAATGTGTCCTGTTTTTTGCTCTTCAAAATATGGCAACCCGAAGACCCCCAGGGACCTTCCAACCAGCCTAGGAAGTGCGCTCTGGTCGCGGGGGAGGAGACACGAGGCATTGCCATCCACACCTGGAATTGAGGAGGAGCTGGAAAGGTCCTTTGGTTTCACACCCAGGACCCATTTTTTCTCTCTTCTTTTGAGAAAGGGGTGGGAAACGGGATTTGGAGGGCGCGTGTGTGCGCGTAGCTGAGCTCCAGTTGCTCTGGGCATTTCTGGACGGCGCCGGTAGCGTCTCTCCTAACCCCTCCCCACCCCGGTCTCCAGCCCCCGCCCAAAGGCTTCCCCCTACCTGGCCAAAGTTCCACCCGAAGCTGGAGATGCGGTTCGTGCTGCCCATGAAGACGACGCCGAACTCGGAGAGGACGTATTCCTTGCGCTCAGCGCAGCGGCGCAGCTAGCCGCTCAGGGGCCCGGGGCGGCGCGCGCATCCTGCAGCCAGGGGCGAGTGCCATGGGGGCGAGCCATGGCAGGGCGCTCTGCGTGGAGCCTCGCTGCAGCCTCCCCCTCAGCTGTAGGGAGGCTGAGGCGGTGGGCAGAGGCCAGAGCGGAGCTTGCGGGCAGTTCGCCCGCAGACGCATGGCTCAGGCACGCTGCAGGCGCCGAGGTGTGGCGCCCAGTGCCCCCCGCCTCGCCTAGCTACCAGTGGCATAGGAAGGGGTGCGCGGTGGGTGCGGGGCTGAAAGGACAGACAAGGCTCCAGCAACCACCCCCACCGCCAAGTCCGCCAGTCCTGCAATCCCTTGCACGCTGACTTGGAAGTACAGTGGTACCTCGGGTTACATACGCTTCAGGTTACAGACTCCGCTAACCCAGAAATAGTACCTCGGGAGGGGCAGAGAGCTGCGAGTGCGCCCCCCGCAGATGTTGCGCCCGGTGCGGCCGGCCCCCCCTGCACCCCCCACGCTACGCCACTGGGCGGGTGTGCTCTTAATGCCAGGGCATTTTGAGGAGATATGCGCACAGAGGTGGGAGTGCACATTTCCCATTGTTGTGCTGCTCTGATCCTAAGAGGCACCAGTTGTCTTGGCAGATCTGTATTGATCTCTGACTGTCATAGACTAAACTGTTCTGACCCTAGTGAGGTTGACAGATCTTGAAGAGGAGGTGCTAGGCTAGCAGGTGTAGAAGGATCAGGGCCTTGGAAACAAAGGGCTGTATCCAATGTCATGCTAAGTTAAAGTCACTTAGCAGTATGCTTGTTCCACTAGCAAAATGCTTTGCTCCCTTGGAATGTTGTGCAAGAGAAAGCACAAGCAGGTTGCTGATAGCTTTGTTGCACAAATCTGTTGTGCAACAAGTTTCCACTAGTGCAACTGTTCCATTTGATTCTTCTGTTGCTCTACATTAAAACTCGCCCATCCACTAGTGCAAGAGGACTTGCGGTAGTGGACAGAGAGTGTGGGATGCAGCCCCACTTTTGGAGGAAAGAAGTAAAAAGCAGGAGGAGGAGTTTGAGAGAGGGAAAGTATGAAAGGGAGTGGGCAGCAATGAGAGGTGGACATGGTCAGGAGCTGGTACAGTTCCCATATTGGTGCAAATGGGCCTTCACCAACCTGGGACTCACCAGGTGTTTTGAACTACAACTCCCATCTGCCCCACCAGCACAGGCTGGTGTAAATAAGAGAATGCTTTTATTAACCCATTCCCATATTAAATATCCTCCTGACAGTGCCTGGCCATGTTGTCTTTTTCAGAGACTGGGTCCACCAAATACCCTTCATCTGCTTGTCAGAGATGTAAAAAAGGTATGGCAGAAATGTTTTCAGACTGGGAATGGAAGCAGAGATGAGCAAAATGTTTTTTCACACTTATCTCACAAGTCAACAGGAAAATAATGTGTTATTTGATGGTGTGTCACATGTGGTCTCCAAAACGTTTCTTCAAAAATTGCATGTTTTCTGTAATGATAAAGTGAGCTTCTTGCATATGTAGCTATTTGGAAGTGTCATTGCAAAAACATGGAATGATTAGAAAGGAGGATCTAAGGGAAACAAGGGTAAAAATTGGGAAGGGGGTAAAATAGGGGGAGGGTGTAAAATCATTCTGCATTTTTCCCAAGAGTAGGGAGCTCCTATTTGTCTGGCACATGAAGTAGACGTATGTGTCAAACCCATTGGGCCCACAAAATACTACTTAGGGAGAGAAGAATCTGTCAAAGACAGTTTCTCTGTGTTTCTCACATTTCCAATCTGTGTTCACTTCTCCACAATTCCACAGCAGTTTTGATGGTGGGGGATCCCAATCGTCATGAAAATTCATCAGCATTTAAGCGTGGATTTCTCTTAATAAAATTTTGTATGCAGTTTTAACTAATACACACATTTTGAAAGCAATTTTCCTTAATAAAATGCATCTTTTATATGTTATTATCACCAATATGTGCATTTCTATGCACACTTTCCCTCATATGTATACATTTTTGTGCACATTACTTGGTTGGAGAACTGCATCACAAAATTTGGGGAAGTGCAAGTTACAAAGGATAGCTGGGATTCAGTCCATGCAATGGTTCTTGCAGTGTGAATTACGTTATAATGTTTTATTTATTCTTTAGGACTACTTTCGTTATGTTGTAGTTATGAATTTTTTCATGCTTTAAGCCGCCCTGAGCATGCTTTGAACTGTGGAAAGGCAGCATTCAAATAAAATGATATATGTGAAACCATAATAGAGTCATATAAGGGTTAAGTAACAAAGTCCAAGGCTTGAAAGAAAATAGTTGTGAATAAAAGTTGTCTTCTACTTATATGGCTTTTAAAAGTGATAAGACACATTCATGAAGAATGGAAGTCTTAAAAAGCTTTCTGTTAGCGATGATAACTAATGTGTGGAAAAGCCTGCATTCAATGGCAGGAGACTTCTGAAGGGAAGAGCAAGGGGAGATGATGCCCTGCTGGTGAGCCCCCAGAGGCAATGGACTGGTTGCTACTGAAAACAGAAAGTGAGACTACCCTGGCCTCTGGTCTGATCCAGCAGAACGGCTCATATGTTCTTTGGAGAGAAGGGAGACTAGCAAATAAGAAAGAGCACATTGCATTCATGGGGGTCTGGGTCATAGCTGGTCACATTCATGGTGTACTGGGTGCATGTTGTGAACTCATATCTCATGTTCCATGGCTAGCATTTTTCAATGTCATTAACACATTGTTGTATGTTTCTCCATCTCTCTCTCTCTCTCTCTCTCTCCCCTCCATTGCATTCCCATGGCTCATTCTCATTCAGCGGCAAACTGGGGGATTTGGCTGGGTTAACATGGAGGTGAATGGCTTAGAGTGTTTCATTTTCATCTTAGTTAGCTATTGTCCCATGTTTTTGTAGACTAGACCTCATTGCGCATACTCTGGCACATAAAAGACAACCAGTTTAAACAAGGAGGCATTGTGTTCAGATCAGAGATTCAGGATGCATGCCAGATTTTTAAATGTAACCATCCAGTCTTCAGCAATATGACAGAGGAGGTTATACAACCTACTTGTTTACCAAATCAGGGCTGCAGATTAATCAAAAGCTTGTTTGGCATCGAGATGCTGTGAATTGTTATGAACATGAGTTTGCTTAATAGTACCAGGTGGTCAGATTTCTCTGTACCAAAGGGCCGCCCTGATACCCTTTGTGTGTCTCTGAAGAGCAGAAGTTGGGGAGAAGGGGACAGAGGAGGCATCTCCTGCCCAAACTGAGATGGGGAGCACTGTCTTCTCCCAAGTTGTGGGAAGGGAATCCTTTTTCTCACTCTCCCTAACCATTAAAAAGCAGTGGGTCCCAGTTTGAGACTCCTGAGCCACAACATCCCAATGGGCCCATGAACAAGTGACTTCCCTGTTCTTCGAAGAGATACGTTGCTGCAGTGGCGTGAATGGATGGGGATCAAAGGTGCTGGGAGGGAGGCTCTCTGTGTTGCCTGCAGCAGCTGTCAGAACCAAGAACACCCAGAGATGTGTTCAGGCATCTGCAGGCTTGTGAAGCTCATTCCCAAGCAGCTGCATAGGCCAACACTGAAGCTAGTGACAGGAGAGGCCGGCTGCAACGTTTTGATAGGCACTCAAGCTGGTTTTCCTGCTTGCTGGTTTTCCCCACTGTGCCCTGTAACGGCAGCTGACTACAGCACACACTCCTGCTCACACCATCACTGTGCTACTGGAAAGGATCAAGGTCACGGATCCCAGTCGGGCTTTTACACAGCTCCTGCTCATTTCAGTGAGGGTTTTTCCAGGACAGCTTCCCATGAATGTGTTGATCCTTCCTTCCTCCCATCTGAGAGGCTGGTACAAATGTAATATCAACCAAGGGGAGGGGGAGCTTCCCTCTGCTGCATTATTGAAAGAACTTTGAACTGCCCTTAAGAAAATTGAATTCTTGAATGGATAAAAGCTCCAAATAGACAAAAGCTGATCAGATTAGGTGGAAGATATAAAACCTAGTCAAAATACAGCCATTTCTAATGCTTTCAAAGATGCCATTTCATAGAGATAAAAAACAATCCGGGAGATTCCCTCTCTGGTGAATCAGTCCTAGTGACGAGAATGAAATTCTTGGTTAGCGAGTGAAGATTTTTGACAGCAAAGGATTTTGCAAAGGAAAACATTTGTGATATTCCCTCCATTTTTAATTATTATTTAAAATTGATAAGAAATGGGAGTTAGTCTGAGAGCCTCCTAGTCATACCCTGGTGTAGTTCTGTTTCAGTTTAACAGAGTGAATACAGACAACAATTTGTTGTGTCAATTTACCATGGTGCATATATCCATGTAGGATACTGCTGGTCTGCCCATCCCCAGAATAAGGGAATGAGCGCTCACATCTTCCTTTGTGGGCACCCTTTGCAGGACCAGGCACATCACCTCGGCCCACATGGGAGCCACCAGCTGGTTGGGCTGGCCTGTCTCCCTGTGCTAGTCATTGGAGGTAACAGCAAAACTTTAAGCCAGTTCAATCAGATGTCAGTCCTTCTAATTCAGAAGTCATTTCTGCTTAGGCATACATTTAACCCCACGGAGTTTAATGGGAACTACTTCCAGAGAAGTGTGTATAAGATTGTAGAATCTACCATATATTTTGGAAAGATGTTTGTGTGCATTTGGATACCTCTTGAAATATCATAACCACATTTTGCATGATGGATCCTGAGATTAAAGAGCAGATTTTTGTCTATGCTTGGGTACAATTAGACACTGTAAATCTCATAAATGTGTGTCAGATTGTGTCCTAAATATATACCCTTGTGCTTACATTTTGCTTCAAAACAATTATTTGGGGGTTTTCTAGGGAAATCTGCCACCAGATTACCACATCAGCCTCATTGACATTGGCCTGGTCCTTGAATATCTCATGGGAGGGGCATATCGTTGCAACTATACACGAAAGAGCTTCCGAACCCTGTACAACAATTTATTTGGGCCAAAGAGGGTAAGAATCTGTCACAAGATTGGTGTCTGTTTTCTCCTTCTGTTTGATCTCTGCATGCACAGCAAGCACTGAATTTGGCCTGATCCCATCTTTAGCATTCTTCTATGAAACTAGATCAGATTTATTAGAAAAGAGGTACATGTTCCATTGGACTGGAAGGAAGGAAGGAAGGTGTTTGCAACTGAAAAAAGAAAATGAAATGTGACACAGGTTGATGGTTGGGTGCAGGCTAAGACTGGCCTGCCTTTGTCGAAACCCCTTTAAGGAAGGGGGAAGGAGGCGTGTCTTGTGTTGTGAGTCCATGGATGACATGGACCTTAAGTCTGACCCAGCAAATTCCTTTGTTCTTAAGAGCAAAGGACCATAGCTCAGTTGCACAGCTCATTAGTAAAGCACATGATTTGCATGCAAATGATCCCAGCTTCAATTCCTGGCAGCATCTCCAGGTAAAGGGGGATCTAAGACTCCCCCCTCCCCCTCCCCCTCCCCTAGTGCAGGGGTAGAGAACATTTTTCAGCCTGAGGTCTACAGTCTCTTCTGGAGCCGCATGCCAGTGTGCTAAATCTTGAGGTGGAGGGGGGGGCTGGATATCATTGTAATGGAGAAGGAGGAAGCTAGCATGGCGGCCTATGTCTGCTAACCAATAGCATGAAAAATAGGCTTTCTCTGAAACATGCAGCAGTATCTGCAATCTAGAAGATGGACAAAAATAACATTTCTTCACAAACTAAAAATTTCATTTCTTTTTTGAAACATGCAGCCTAAAGCTCTCAAGCTACTAGGGATGGAGGTAAGTCTTTTTTGTTTTTTTGTCACACAAGTTTCTTCTCTAATTAGGGGCAGGGGGAGTAAATTTATCACATGGCATGTTTGGGCAAGACCCAAACCAATGGATTCAAATGACAAGAAAGGAGATACTGACTAAACATCAGAAAGAACTTTCGGATGGTAAGAGCTGCTTGAGAGTTTTAAAGCAGAGGTTAGGCGGCCCCCTGCCAGGGGTTCTTGAACTGTTATTCCTGCATTGCAGGAGGTTGGGCTAGATGACCCTTGGCATCCCTTTCAACTCTCAAGTTCTTTGATTCTAAAAAACCACTACCTTCTTTTGGGATCATCTCATTTTGCTTCCAAGTTTATTGGCACGCAGCAACTTGTGTCCAAGCTGTATGCTTTTAGGTGCAGTAGAGAAAATCCATATAGACTGCTGGAATCACATATAGATGGATTACCTCATTTGGTCTGATTCTTCCAGGACAGAGCAATGGATGCATACCTGCAGTGAGTGCTCTGGTAGCAGCTGTTCCACATGTGCGCTGCACCTATTGCATTTGGAAGGGAGCAGCTGTTTGCGTGCGTCCCCCCAACTTCATCCCGTTATGATCCTCTTAAATAACACATAGGTTTTCTGGAAACCTCAGACCAACCCAGGCTTTCTGGGGGCTCCTTGAGCTATTAGGATAAAGGGGAGAGTGTCCCTGTGCAAAGTGTATAAGCCTTTATTCTAAATGGGCAGAAGAACTTATTGTTATATCACAGATATAAAATATATAAATACAAAGCAAAGCCAGGCGCCCTGAAAGCTGGTAAGCAGCTTTGCCGTGTTCAAAGGAGGCATCAACAAGGCTTAATCTTCTTTGACATCTCTTTGTCTTTTCTGATGAGTGCATGACAAAAGCATTCATCCCTCCTGAGACAGGAGATGGCTGGGCCTAAAAAGCTTAAAATGGGCAACAGTGGCCCAAATCTAGAGATATTCCACGTGCAGCTGGCCAGGCACCACTGCAGGGCACATCTGCTGGTGCCTTTGCTCCCAGGAGGTGGCAGCATGTTCACATGTGAGTCTTAGCATGCCACTGCCTGTTCTGAGAGGGGTGGGAGACTGAGTCCACACAGGAAGAGACAATGGGACTAAATTCTGGCTGCTTTAAATAGTCATGGTCCCCCAAAGAATTCCAGGAGTTGCAGTTTTTTAAGGTTGCACTCCCTTCGAAGGAGCAGGGTCACAGTTTGGGGGTGCCTCTGGATTCAGCTTTGTCCCTGGCGTGCCTTTCACCAACTGCAACTGGTTTGACAGCTACAGCCATTCCTGGACCAGCCACAGCAGTTCATGTGTTGGTTACTTCAAGACCAGATTATTACAATGTGCTCTATATGGGGCGCCCCTCACACTTGATCTGGAAGCTGCAGTTAGTGCAGAATGCTGCAGCGCAATTGCTGACAGGAGTGAGGCCTTGTCAATAAAGAACACCTGTGCTCAGAGATCTTCACTGGTTGCTGATTAGCTACCAGGCCAAGTTCAAGGTGTTAATATATGAAGCCCTGAACAACTTGGGACCAGTTTACCTACAGATCGCCTTACCCCACATGTGCCAAATCGACCTATCAGCAGAACTGGCACTACTACAGGGGCCACATAATACCCCTTCTGTATTGGGAAAAACTTGATCATTTAGTGTGGCAATGCCTATACTTTGGAACTCCCTGACTCTTGAGATCAAGCAGATGCCTTCACTGTACAGTCATACCTTGGTTTTCTAACAGCTTAGTTCTCGAATGTTTTAGCTCCCAAATGCCGCAAACCTGGAAGTGAGTATTCTGGTTTGCAAACTATTTTTGGAAGCCGAACGTCCAATGGGCTTCCACGGCTTCCGATTGGCTGCAGGAGCTTTGGTTTCCCAACGTTTTGGAAGTCGAACGGACTTCCGGAATGGATTCCGTTTGACTTCCAAGGTATGAATGTACTCTTTTCGCCCCCTGATAAAAACATTATTGATTAGGAAGTTGAGGTAATTTTAATCTGTTTAACTTTTGTATGTTTTAAAGTATGTGATTTTTTCTTGATTTTGCTGTTTTACCTTTTGTAAGTCGTTTTGAGGTTGTTGCTTTTGTTACAATCAAAGCAGTGTATGTTGTTGTTGTTTAGTCGTTTAGTTGTGTCCGACTCTTCGTGACCCCATGGACCAGAGCACGCCAGGCACTTCTGTCTTCCACTGCCTCCCGCAGTTTGGTCAGACTCATGTTTGTAGCTTTGAAGACACTATCCAACCATCTCGTCCTCTGTCGTCCCCTTCTCCTTGTGCCCTCCATCTTTCCCAACATCAGGGTCTTTTCCAGGGAGTCTTCTCTTCTCATGAGGTGGCCAAAGTATTGGAGCCTCAGCTTCACAATGTGATTTTTTCTTGATTTTACTGTTTTACCTTTTGTAAGTCGTTTTGAGGTTGTTGCTTTTGTTACAATCAAAGCAGTGTATAAATTTTATTAAATTAAATAAATAAGGGTTTCTAGGCTACCCCTGTTCCCCTCAAAGAACTACAACTTACAAAGTGATTTAACAACAAATCCCTCTTCCCAGGGAACTCTGAACTGTAACTGTGAGGGGAATAGGGGTGTCCTAACAACTCTCAGCACCCTGATAGGTACCGTAATTCTGGGACTTCCACTTGTTCTCCTCGTTACCCACTGAAGAACAATAACTGTGGAAAGCCTCCCTGTTCTAGGCTGTCAAGAAATGGTTAGTATTTGGTATTTCCCCTCTAATTATGCTTCCCTGCCCCACCCTTAGCTGTGGCTCCACTGCCCAGACTCTCTTTCTGTTACCTCCTTCCTCGTTGCCTCCAGTTCCAGTCGTAATGCTCCATCCTCCTTCCCCATTTAGGAGATGGGATAGTTCTCCCTTTGCTGGGTCCTCCGGCGTAAGATCTCATGTTCAAAGGTGAACTTTCCATTCAGCCTTCTTCAAGACGCTCTTTGTCGCCGCCTGCTTTGCATGTGACTTGGCTTGCCCATGTGCTCATTCTAGCCTTTCTCTGCACCAAGAGTGCCTGCATGACTCAATCACACTTGAAACAGGGATACAGCAGGATCAGCCATGCCTAGCAAGGGCTGGTTGAAAGGGCCCCAAGCCAGATCAGCGATTCATCCAGAGACAGAATAGGTAACCCCCTTTAAAGGCAAATAGTTGTGTTGCACCTCTGCACCAAAAGGCCGAGCCATGCGTGATGCTGAGATGCTATAGTATGACCTGTGTCCAGCAGAGGCTGGAAGGGAGCAGATAATCGTGCAGAGATGCAGGGGGTCAGCCTCCTTTACAGAGGGCACTTTGAGCTCACAAAAGCCTGTAGATCAGGGGTGCACAACCTGCAGCCCTCCAGATGTTGTGGGACTACACCTCCCATCATCCCTGATCACTGGCTATGCTGGCTGGGGCTGCTGGGAGTTGTAGTTCAGAAACATCTGGAGGGCCACAGGTTGTGCACCCCTGCTGTAAATAATTATGGATTAATTTCTCAGAGATCTCCAGCAGTTCTCTCATGGCACTACAGTGTACCTCAGCCACAGTTTGGGAACTGCTGGGTCATTTATTTAGAAACCTGATATTTAGAAGGTTTAGGTCCTTTTCCAGTGATTTCATTTGAACTCCAACATCATGCCAAATGATTTGAAGGTAGGATGACTGATGCATCGGTCTGAAGGACCTGCATCTGTCTATGTGCCGTCTGCCCAGGTAACATCATAAGCTGTGATACCCACAGAAAAGCACATGTTGTGAATTTGCAGTGACGCTTTGCATGGAAGCATTGTCATCGCCATAAGAAGCCACTCTTCTACTAACAATTCAGGCACAATGATTCTGCATGCTTGTATTTCCGGCTTAACCTTCAACTTAACAGCAGTGCATGGCCTTTTCCTTAAGCATCTATCTTTATTCATGGGCACAACCTGTAATAATCTGCAGGAACGCCAGTAAAATGTAGCCTAAATGTGAAATTACGGTAACTCAATTGCTCCTTCCTAGGATGATGAACCTCCAACCAAAGGGAAAAAGAAGAAAAAGAAGAAGAAGGAAGAGGAGATAGACATTGATGTGGATGACCCAGAAGTCAGCCGCTTCCAGTACCCCTTCCATGAGCTCATGGTCTGGGCAGTGCTGATGAAGCGGCAGAAGATGGCTCTCTTCCTTTGGCAACGTGGAGAGGAGACCATGGCCAAGGCACTGGTGGCCTGCAAACTCTACAAAGCCATGGCCCACGAGTCTTCAGAGAGCGAGCTGGTGGATGACATCTCTCAAGACCTGGACAACAACTCAAAGTTAGTCACTCAGAGTGTGGGGCTGGACTGTGTGGTGTAGCGGTTAGGTTGTCAGACCTGGGAGACCAGGACTGAAAACCCCACTCAGCTATGAAGCTCATTTGGATGACGTTGAGCCTGTCCCTGGCTCTCAGTCTAAGCTGAGACCTTCTGAGCTAAGGCCCTTCTCCAGTTCCTGTTCTGCTTTTTTATATTTATATATTCTTAGTATATAGTTTATATTTATATTTTCTTAGTATTAAACATGAACCTGCCCCAATGTTACAATGATCTACTGATTGAGTCCTTCAGCTCTCTCAAGTTGAATCAGACAGAAGGGTCTTCTCTGTTGTGGCCCCTGGCTCTTGAATGTCCTCCCCAGGAAGTATCACCTGGTACTGAACCTGAAGTCCATTCAGAACCAGCTGAAGACTTTACTTGCCCTGGTCTTCCAGTACATCCTCAAGACTGGTTTTAATAAGCAATTTTAATAGATTTTACTGGCTTTACTGCTTTGACCTGTTGCATTGTTCCTGTGATGTTAATTTTACTACCGTGTTTAATTTGTTAGCTGCTAGCCAATCTGGCATTCTTTATCTCTCCAGAGATTTTGGCCAGCTTGCTGTTGAGCTGCTGGATCAATCATATAAGCATGATGAGCAAGTAGCCATGAAACTTTTGACATATGAGCTGAAAAACTGGAGCAACTCTACTTGCCTGAAACTTGCAGTGGCAGCAAAGCACAGGGACTTCATCGCGCACACCTGCAGCCAGATGTTACTGACAGACATGTGGATGGGGAGGTTGCGCATGAGGAAAAATCCGGGCCTTAAGGTAGGCATGGACTGCTTAGGCCTGCAGGCACCTGGGCTTGCTATATAGGAGGGAGGGGGAAACTGTACATACAGTATATGGAGGAGAATAGTACTGAGGGCAGGAATAATACCTCCTCCAGAGCCACAGTCCTGCTCCAGTTCCCCCTCCCTTCAATACATGCTGGTTTAAACAAGTAGAACCAAGAGACAGGTGATGTGATCACTGATCTCCAATCAGACATCTCCAGGAATTTCTAGTTTGGCCCTGAGCTGCATCCTATGCAACTAAACCATAAATTTCAAATCATAAATGGCTCTTGCCTCTCATGCAGGTTATCATGGGGATCCTCATACCTCCTACCATCCTGTTCCTGGAGTTCCGTACCTCTGATGACTATTCCTACCAAACGTCAAAGGAAAATGAAGTCGGGAAAGAAAAAGAAGAAGAAAATGTGGTCAGTGGCAGCCCATCTCTATAAGCCTCTCAACACCACAAACATGTCTCACCTTTATTCCCTGTTTAATAGTCATCATGGTTTCCCCAATTGCCAAGAATGCTGAGAATTGTAACTCAGTCAGGGATGCTGAGGATTTTGTATTTGAGATTCTTGCTCTTCCTCAGAACTTCAGCAAGTTCCAAGGAAGGATATTGTCAATCTTTGTTTCTCTCTGTTTTCTTATTTTTCAACCTTAAATTCAGTGCTCCACGTTTCCCCAGCAATCTGCTGAGAAAATCTCATGAAAATCCATCAACATTCTAGTGTGAATTTCCTTTGATGAACAGATTTTTATGCAGTTTTGAACAATATACATTTTGCAAACATTTCCCCCTAACTTTTGAAATATTTATTTCACTAATAACTGCATTTCGATGTGCACTTTCCTCTACTGTTCACATTCATTGCTTTTGAACCACTGTTGTTGTTTTGGCAAACAGGCTTTGCAGGTTTTTGAAGCATGAACAACCTATTTGACCACAGACAAGTCTACATACCTTAAGTCAGCCTTTCTCAACCTGTGGGTCCCCAGATGTTGTTTTTTTTTTTTAATATATTTTTATTGCCTTTTTCCAGATATATCAAACAACAAAAAAGAAAAAAAAAGAAAAATACAGAAAAAGGAAAACAAGGACTTCCCCACGTCTCCCACCCCCTGCTTTCTTAACAATAAAATGTCAGCAAATTAATATCTTGTTTCATGTGTTATTAATACTTTCCAGTAATTGTCTTTTAAGTTCAAAATACTTATTTTCAATTTACTTTTACTTTAATCTAAACACAATATTATTTTAAACTTTAGTCCTCTCATTGATCCTACCCTAATTTCCAATATAAAAAAATCTTGATGCTGGAGCTTGGTTTTTCAATTTATGCAAATTATTGACAATCAAATAACTTATAATGTTTTTGTAAATAGTCCTTAAATTTTTTCCAGTTCTCCTCCGTTGTTTCTTCTCCCAAATCTCGGATTCTGCCAGTCATTTCGTCCAATTCCATATAGTCCATCAGTTGCATATGCCATTCTTCCAGAGTGGGCAAATCTTGTGTCTTCCAGTGCTTTGCAATAAGTATTCTTGCTGCTGTTGTTGCATACATAAAAAAGGTTCTATCGTTCTTTAACACATTCTGGCCGACAATACCCAAAAGGAAGGCCTCTGGTTTCTTGGGAAAGGTATACTTAAATACCTTTTTTAACTCATTGTAAATCAATTCCCAGAAAGCCTTTACCCTTGGGCATGTCCACCAGAGGTGAAAGAATGTCCCTTCCGCCTCCTTACATTTCCAACATCTGTTGTCAGACAAATGGTATATTTTAGCAAGTTTAACTGGGGTCATGTACCACCTGTATATCATTTTCAAAATATTTTCTTTCAATGCACTACATGCCGTGAATTTCATACCGGTGGTCCATAACCTTTCCCAGTCATCAAACATGATGTTGTGCCCAATGTCTTGAGCCCATTTTATCATGGCGGATTTAACTGTCTCGTCCTGAGTGTTCCACTTAAGCAGCAAGTTGTACATTCTCGAAAGTACCTTTGTCTTTGGTTCTAGCAGTTCCGTCTCTAATTTCGATTTTTCCACCTGGAATCCTATCTTTTTGTCCAATTTAAAGATCTCTTGAATTTGAGCGTAATGAAACCAGTTTTGCACCTTATGTTTTACTTTTTCATAGCTCTGTAACCTCCAATTGTCACCTGATTTTTCTAGCATTTCCCAATATTTCAACCAACCGGTCTCCATATTGGGCTTTTTTCGGGCCTTGGCCTCCACTGGTGATAGCCACCTCGGGGTCTTACTTTCCAATAAGTCTTTGTATTTTATCCAGACCATAAATATTGCTTTTCTGACAATATGGTTTTTAAATGTTTTATGAATCTTAACCTTGTCGTACCACAAATATGCATGCCACCCGAAAGCATTATCAAACCCTTCTAGATCCAGGACATCAGTATTTTCTAAAAGCAGCCAATCTTTCAACCAGCAGAAGGCTGCCGCTTCATAGTATAGCCTTAAGTCTGGCAGGGCAAGCCCCCCTCTTTCTTTTGCATCAGTTAGTATTTTAAATTTTATTCGGGGCTTTTTGCCCTGCCAAACGAATTTCGAAATGTCCTTCTGCCACTTACCAAAACATTCAGGTCTGTCCACAATCTGAAGGGCTTGAAACAAAAACAGCATCTTTGGCAATACATTCATTTTTACCGCTGCGATTCTGCCCAACAAGGAAAGTTTCAATCTTGACCAAATTTCTAGATCCTTCTTAACTTCTAACCAACTTTTTTCATAATTATCCTTGAACAAATTCAAATTTCTGGAAGACAAATTAATTCCCAGGTATTTCACTTTTTTAACCACAGATAATTCTGTTTCCTTCCAAAATTCATCTGTTTCTAAAGGTGTCAAGTTTTTAACCAGTACCTTGGTTTTTTGCTTATTCAACTTGAATCCCGCCACCCGACCAAACTCTTGGATCAATTCTAAAACTCTTTTTGTGCTAGATTCTGGCTCCTGTAATGTTAAAACCAAGTCATCTGCGAAAGCTTTCAATTTATATTGTTTCTCTCCGACCTGTATTCCTTTTATCAACCGGTCCTCCCTTATCATATTCAAAAACACCTCCAGGACTGAGATAAATAAAAGAGGGGATAGGGGACACCCCTGTCGTGTTCCTTTTTGGATTTTAAACTCTTCTGTCACCACATTGTTCACTATCAATTTAGCTTTTTGTTCTGAATAAATTGCATCTATACCATTCTCAAACCCCTGTCCCACTCCCAACCCTTCCAAATTTTTCTTCATAAACTTCCAGGAAATATTATCAAAGGCTTTCTCCGCATCAATGAAAATTAACACTGCTTTTGTATTGATATTTGTTTGCAGGAATTCCAAAATATCAACAATGTTCCTAGTGTTATCAAACAAATGTCTGCCTGGGAGAAAGCCTGCCTGATCTTTATGAATTACTTCATTTAGCACTCTTTTAAACCTACTTGCCAAAATGTCTGCAAAAATTTTATAATCCACATTTAGAAGAGAGATGGGACGGTAGTTCTTTAGTTGAGTCTTTTCAGCTTCCAATTTGGGAATCAATGTGATGAAGGCTTCTTTCCACGTTTCCGGTGTCTTCTTCCCCTCCATAATCTGGTTACAGACCTCCATTAATGGCTGTATCAAATAGTCTTTTAAAGTCTTATAATACTTGGAGGAAAGTCCATCTGGGCCTGGAGATTTACCCAGTTGCATATTCTGGATGGCACTCTCAATTTCCTGTTGTGTTATTTGATGGTTTAGAATTGTCCTCTTCTCTTGAGATAGTTTTGGTAGTCCCTTAGCTTTTAGAAATTGTTCTATCTCAGTCATATCCTGAGGCCCTTGCGTGTAAAGTCTTTTGAAATATTTCTGGAAACACTTTCTTATTTCTTCCGGTTTCTGTATATTTTTACCCTCCACCTCCAGATTGGTTACAAAGTTCAATTTTTGTCTCCTTTTCAACTGCCACGCTAGCAGTTTCCCACATTTATTAGCCGATTCAAAAGATCTTTGTTTCATTTGTTTGATTTTCCATTCCACTTCTTGATTTATTAATTTCGCATATTGTGCTTGGTGAAACTTGATTTCTCTGAGAATCTCCTTAGATTTTGGTTTTGATCTCAATTTTTCCTCACCATCTCTTATCTTCTCTAATATCTTGTCCTTTTTTCCATTCCAGAGTTTTTTCTTAATCGTGTTCTGTTGTATCAGAAACCCTCTCATTACAGCTTTACTTGCGTCCCAGATTATTCTCTTTTCCACCGAGGTGTTCAAATTTATTTCAAAATAGTCCTTTAAAGCTTTTTGGGCCTTTTTAACAATCTCTTGGTCTCTTAACAGAGTGTCATTCATTCTCCATCTAAAGGAACCGGCTGGAGTAAGTCTCAGTTCCACTTTCAAGGCGTTATGGTCGGAGCAGGTTTTGGGGCAGATTTCCACTTTCGTGGTCTTAGGTGCCAGTCCTCTAGATGTCCAAATTTGGTCTATTCTTGACCATGACAAATGCACTTCGGAAAAGAATGTTCCTTCTTTACCTAGGGGGTTCTTTGTCCTCCAAATGTCAATCAAATCCATATTGTCAGTCAGTTCAAAAAAGGTTTTAGGTAGTCTGCCATCTTTGGTCAAATTTTGATTTTGCGACTTATCCATGTAAGTAGAGACCACCCCATTCATGTCTCCCATCACAAAGACGTTAGAATAGTCCAGGTAATCCAGCAGTGTCTCATGCAGCTTCTTGTAGAATTCTGATTTCCCTTCATTTGGAGCATAAATTCCCACTATTAGAAACTTTTCTCCTTGTGATTGTATTTCAATTGCCAAAATTCTTCCATGCTCATCTTTGAATAACAATTTCGGTGACAGGTTCTCCTTTGCGTAAATCACAACGCCTCTTTTCTTAACTTTATCTGATGAGATAAATTCTTGGCCTAATCTTTTGTTAATTAATACTTTTCTATGGAGCCTAGTCACGTGAGTTTCCTGCAAACAGATAATGTCCAATTTTTCTTTTTTCAATATATGAAAGATCTTCCTTCTTTTTTCCGGGGAATTCACGCCATTAATATTCCAACTTAGAAGTTGCAGAGACATCCCGGATCAGATTAGGAGTCCTCTTGGGGTGTGTCTCCTTCGTTCAAACCCGGTGGCAGATCAGGTGTTGATTCAGGTAGGAGTACTGGTCCGGCTCCTGCTACTCCCTTCCGAAGGTCCTCTCCGTATTCGTTCAAAAATTTTAGTTGGTCTTCTGCAGATCTGATTTTTATTTTTTTCCCCTTGATAGTAAAAGATAATCCTTGAGGGAACTCCCACCTGTAAGGGATTGTGTTGTTCCTCAGTAGTCCTGTTAAATCTTTATATGTAGATCTTAAGTCCAATAGTTGTTTCGGGATATCTCTGTAGATTTCTGCTTTTTTACCCTGGATCACCAATGGTTTTTTAAAATGTAGGCCGAGTATTTTGTCACTCTCTTGCCTAGATCTCAAAATGATCAGGCAATCTCTAGCTCTGTCCTTTCTCACCACTCTTCCCAATCTAAAAGCGGTGACAATTTTGAATTCCTTATCTTCTTCTACAGCCCAGAACTTTGATAATTCTGAAGTCAGGAAACCAATCAAATTGTCTTGTTCAAGTTCTGGAATTGAGCGTAACCGAAGATTATTTTCCCTATTTTTCAGTTCCACCATAGACAGATAGGCCTGCTGCTCAGTAAGTTGTCTGCAAAGTGGCCTTACCTCACTTCTTACTTCCTCCACCTTCTTATTGGCCTCCTCTGCTTTCTGATTCGCTTGTTCAGCCAGTTTCCGACTTTCTTGAGTTGTTGTTTGGAGGGTCCCAATTGCTTGTGTATTTTGGGAAACTTGGTCAGTCAGCTTGTTAATAGTAGTTGTAACTTGGTCAAACTTTGTGTTTAAAGCAGCAAGTTGATCCAGGATTTTCTGTGAAACTGGGTCAATCCCTCCTGCAGCCATATCTTTTAAAGCTGGCTCTTGGGCTGGTTCAGCTGGTTGAGGGCCTTGTCCTTCTTTCAGTGTTAAAACCGTGGGGACAGATGATCTGCGTAGCTGTACAGATTGTACAGGCAATGTTGTTTGTAGCAGTAGCTGTTCTGCTTTTGTTTTAGCTGCCCTTTTCCTTGAGCCACTCATTCCACAGCTGTCTAGGCGTCAAGGTCAAATTGTAAGTCCCATGGGAAAAATAATCCAGGGAAGAGAACACACACTCTCAGAAGATAGACCAAATAAAAAGCAGTTCCCAGAAATTAGTTAAGTCTAAATCCACTAGGGGGAGCTTCCCTGTAGCTCAGTGAGAAGATAAAATTTTCCACTCTTAAGCAGAAGTCCAAAATGGAGAATTTTAAAGAGTTACCTTCAGTGTCCTTTATACTTAAAGAGCTTTCCAAAATGCCAACAAAGTTTCAATAGTTGGTGCAAGCAACAGTTTCTTTCTTGTTTGTATCCAATAATGCTTAACAGTAACAGATCCAGTTTTAGTTACAGTTTCTGCAATTTGACAGTTCCTATTGTCCTGGCAGCCCCTGCATTTGGTTGCTTTGTAATCCACTTAAACAAAAGGAGGAAAGGTTTCCATTCAAATCATTCACTTCCCAACCTCCTAATCTTATGTCCCCTTTCAAATAAATGACTTCCAATTCACACAGTCTTAGCAACTTCTTTTTAACGTCCTTTTCACAGCGCTCCCAGCTTGCAAAAGTTTTTTGCTTTGATCTTAGCAGAGTCGGAAGGCGGACTTCCTTTTTTCACCTCCCGCTTTCAGCCGATTTCTCTTTAAAAATTTAGGCTCAAATAAACATTTGTAGTTCCTTACTCACGGATGTTAAGTTCTGTAGCCAGATGCTTCAGGAAGAAAGGACAGCGCTCATCAGCAGCAGCCGCGCGGCTTCGCATCCGCAGAAAGAGCGATGAACCCACAGCACCGCTTCCCCTTTCACGTTCCGGAGCCTCTTACGAGGCTCCTTCCCCGCTTCTGGGGTCGCTCCTGGTGCCCGCCGGGTCCCACGGCCACGGGCTCACTCTACCCGTGGTTCTTCTTAATGGGTCGTCGCTGTGCCGCAGCGTACGTCCCTTTTCCGCGGAGCCCCTCTTCAGAGATCAAAGAGGACCGCCATTGCTGTTTCGCGCCGCCTCCCCAGATGTTGTTGAAGTACAAATCCCACATCACCCCTAGCTAGCAAGGCCAGAGCTCAGGGATGATGGGAGTTGTAGTCCAACAACATCTGGGGACCCACGGGTTGAGAACCGCTGCCTTAAGTAATGAAGGTTCTAGTATGGCTCTTACAACTGAATAATATGTGCCTGTAGAAAAACAAGCAAGCAAGCAAGCAAACAGGACAGTTTGTCTATGTTCAGACATTTTCTCTCCCCCACCCCCTTTAACCTTGAATGGATGAGAGCCCTCCAGTGGGAACAATCTATGATCCTAAGCTACCTGTCTTTCAGGATGCAAATGCTGATACTGGTTCCCGAAAGGGTGATGAAGAAGATGGGAACAAAAAACAAAGGAGCCTTCCCATTGGAACGAAGATCTACGAATTCTATAATGCACCAATTGTGAAGTTCTGGTTTTACACAGTGAGTGAAAATTATTTTCATCCTTTGGTGAAAACAACATGTTCCATTCTCTCCTGCTGATGTAATGTGTCACTGCTGACCATTAGCCATGCTGATGGGAACAATGGCCTAGAACATCTGGAAAGCTCAGTGTTGTGGTAGGCTGGCCTCTCACTTCTTTATTCCCTACTCCAAAATTACTGGTAATTACTGGTTTCCAAAACACAACAAAAAATTGTAAATGGTGGGGGGGGGGAAACCCTGCTTTGGGTTTCTAAGCAGAAGTGTCATCGTCATTGTGCAACCACCATCACCCAACATCCCTACAAATGAATCAACCCAAAAATGCAATGTGAGGTCTCTTTTTATTTCTTTTTCCAGATATCCTACCTAGGGTACTTAATGCTGTTCAACTATATAATCTTGGTACCGATGGATCGTTGGCCCTCACTCCAGGAATGGGTTGTCATTTCATACATTGTGACTCTGGCATTGGAGAAAGTAAGAGAGGTAATTTCAACCATTCTGGCAACTGTTCTTTTGAAATTCTCCACCTGCTCTGATGTCACAAGGAAGGAGGAAAGCAGTTAGGGATGCAAAAGCCACTCCCCCTGGCATAATCCTACAATCCACATGTTCACTGGGGTGTCTGAATGCCCAAGGGACCTGAAGTAGGATAAACTGGTTTTAAGAAGCTAGTAAGCCTCAAGCTTCTTTCTCCCATTACCACATTAAACACCTTCTTTCTCCCTTCCCACCACTTTGTTTTCAGATTTTGATGTCAGAACCAGGTAAATTGAGTCAGAAAATAAAAGTGTGGCTACAAGAATATTGGAACATCACTGATTTGGTTGCTATTTCTGTGTTCTTGGTTGGGGCCATTCTCCGTTTGCAAAACCAGCCTTATATGAGTTATGGAAGAGTTATCTACTGTGTGGATATCATTTTCTGGTACATCCGAGTACTGGACATCTTTGGTGTGAATAAGTACCTGGGGCCTTATGTCATGATGATTGGAAAAATGGTAAGTAACTATGTTTTGAAACAGAGAGGGCAGGTGTCATGGCAGGTATTAAAGAAAGGCAGAGTGGCGCTGCAGCTTATCCGAAAGCAAGAAGCCCTAAGAAACTGAATGGAGAACTGGATACTTACTGGAGGACTAGGAGCCAGAGAGAATTGTTACAGCCCCATATGAATTGGGGTATTTCTGTGCAATGTTTCATCAGATGGCTCTCTGCAACCCTAGCCCTCCATTTTAGCACAAATTGAACACTGTTGCAAGGGTTTGCTAACAGAAACTTGGATGTAGCCAAACATTAAGGTCACAATCCAGCCAAAGTGATGCTTTTTTAAGATCCATTGAAGTTGATGGGAATGTTAATTATGATTTACCGGTAAAACTTTTATAGCCCACCCTTCAGTTTTTTAAAAAAACTTACAACATGACTTCCAATTTAAATGATAACTATATCATCAAAAACACATTGCAGATTTTTTTTTTTTAGCAGCAGTCAGAAACAATCAACTGTCATTATATGTGACAGGCAAATAAAAGCATTTAAGCTGGTTACTTGAACTCATAAACTTTGGTTCCAGATAAATAATCCTGGGGAGACTGTTTCATAATTGATACGACACCACTGAGAAGGCCCTTTCCATAGCAACTGCCCACCCCCAGTCACCTAGAAGATTACCCAAATTATATTTTAAAGGTTTCCATAGGAGTACATTGTCATGCCCAGAGAGTTGGACAGGTATTAACGAGGTGCAGATCTGAGGTCTGGAACTGATTGGCTTCATAGGAAGTGATTCATAAATGAAATATATAACAGATCGTGTTCATATTGTTTTTCAGTAATTTCTACGCTGATCCTTTCTTGATATGTTGCTCTACGCTCTTTCTTGGTGTAGATGATTGACATGCTGTACTTTGTGGTGATTATGCTGGTGGTCCTGATGAGCTTTGGAGTTGCCCGTCAAGCCATCCTGCATCCCGATGAGCAGCCGTCTTGGAGACTGGTCCGCAACATCTTCTACATGCCCTACTGGATGATCTATGGAGAGGTGTTTGCTGACCAGATAGACCGTAAGAACAGAATTCATAGTAAGATTCTGTTTCCTGTTTCTGAGGCAGATGATCGGGTCCAAATTAATCAACATTTAATTTGGAATCGGCATCACTTTTTCTACTTACGATTATTGTAGCTTTGTCTTTGTGGCAGACATGATTGAACACCTCTGAACTTTGCCATCACCCTCAATCAATTCCCTTTATTTTGTAGGTTAAACAGAAAGAGCATGCATATCTTCTTGTTGTTGTTGCTGCTGCTGCTGTCATTACAATTATTTATTACTCACCCTACCAAGGGAGGTTGTGGCAATTTAAAATTCAGAATGACAAACAGTTAAAGCAGATTACATATTATAGGGTGGTTCCTGAAAACACACATTTCAGGTGTCCATAGACCAGGGCAAAGAGGCACATCATCAGCATTTGCTGAAAGATGCACAATGAAGGTGCCAGGCACACCTCTGCAAGGAGGGAATCCCTTAGCTTAGGGGCTGCAACAGAAAAGGGTGGGGTGCCACCATCACCAAATTTCAGAGGAATGTGGAACTACCACTAGGACTCACTCTGCTGATCTCAACACCTAGAAGGGTCTGTACAGAAGGAGACAGCTTCTCAGATATTTGGGGCCAAAGCCCTTTAGGGTTTTGAACGCCAACATGAGCCCCTTGAATTGGACCCAGAAATGAACCAGCCTTGTAGCTTGTCTTTGTGGCAGACATGATGATCTCTTTCAAACTGTGTCTTCACCCGCAGCCAATTCCCTTTATTTTGCAAGTTAAAAAGAAAGAGCATTCGTATATCCCTTCCCTTTTACAGAAAACCTCTTTTCTGTCAGCAAATCTTAGGCAAATTTGTGTTATGGACCTGTGTGCATTTGAGTCTTTTAAGAACCTGATAATACAGTCAACAGGGGGAGGAAATAGTCCCGTGAACACACAGTTCTCTAGTGAAGAAGCCCTGCCGGGCAGGGGAAGCTTTTGTGTGCCCTACACAGTTAAGGAGCAGCTGAGCATTTTTGCACAATAAAATGAGCATCAAGGAAATCACCACCACCATATTCTTTGTGAATGACCCTTGCATTTCTTTCAAGTGGGGTTGTTCAAAAACCATTGTCTCGTTTATTTATTTTTAAATGGCATGACTGAAGGTGCGAGCCTTCTGCATAGTTTTAATTTCTTTAAAAAAAGAATGCCTCAATTTAACATGGTGTGCATATTTCTATAGAAATCCAGCTTTTTATGGTTTGTAGCTTTCTTGGCTTTACAGTGTGTGACTGATGCTTGCTGAAATCTCCCACTAGCAGCTATTTCCTCTCTCCCTTCTGGACCTGAGCCGTGTGGAGCCCCTGACCCTTGCTGTAGCCTGAGATCCCTCTCTGGGAGGCAGATCTAGACTCCAGAGTGTGTTTCCAGAGAGCAAAATGTGTTCCCAGGGCAGCCACACTGTCCATCTTGTGCAATTGCCTTGTGGTGCTTTGTGCTTGTGGTGAGAGTCTGCCCACGTCATCCTTACATAATTGAAATAGCTTGAATATTTACATGATCATCTGCCAGCTGCCTTTTGTAATTATCTTTTGATTGCCACAAATACGCTGCCATACATAATGTTTCGGAAAGTCCAGGAGAAAAGGAAATTGCAAGGCCTTCTGGAGTCCTGACAAGAGCCATTGTTTCAGAGCATGTCTCTTGCCTGTTAAAACATTTGAAGGCCTTATCTTTCTCTGGCAGCTGAAGAGCAACCATATTGTCAGTGACATGTGTGTTTTTCCTGTTCTCTTGTTCTTTTATTCCTTTTTAAAATGCTTCTTTTTGCATTTTTATTCTTTGCTTTCGGAACGCTGGGTAGTCTATGCCATGGAAATTAATCGTAAGTCTTTGCAGGGAGTTGACAAAGCAATTAAATGTTTTTATTGGTGGATTCCACCCCACCCCCGTGACCCTTTAATTAGAGTTCATCTCAGCTTTAGTGCAATACCTGCCACTGCCATGTTGTCATGACCTGGTCCCCAAATTCGCCACACCTAAAACCTCATACACCCACCTTTGCCAGCTGAAGATTTGAGGTGTGGGTCTTGACCCATCAGAAACCCAAATTATGCAACAAATCTCTGCAGCATCTTAGACAACCAGGGCAGGGTTTAGACCTATATCATTTCCATAGCAATAGTCCAAAATCCCCAAAAGAGGCATTTAAAGCTGTCCAGCTGTTTGTGTGATTGCTTTAAAAAAGTTCCAATATCTGTGATAAAGGAAGCTCTGTAATAGTCATAGCTGTCAACTTTCATATTTGAAAATAAGGGATCAGCAGCCCCAAAATAAGGGATCAGCAGCCTCACCTATCCTGGGGACAGTCTACGGCAGGGGTCTGCAACCAGCGGCTCCGGAGCCGCATGTGGCTCTTTTACACCTTTGCCGCGGCTCCGGGGCGGATACTAGCGAGGGGAGGGGGCGCATTGTGCGCCCCGACACTCCCCACTGTGGCGGGCGCTGTACTGGCTGTGACGTCGCATGGGGGCGGTGCGTGCGTTAGTCACGCACCGTCCCGACGTCACCTTCCTGCGCACCCGCTACATTGTAAGGGGCATGTACACTGGTCACTGCATTGAAAGGGGGCATGTACGCTGGTCACTGTTTTGAAGGGGAGTGAAGAACACACACACACACACAAAAAGGTAACTTGTTAATTTAACGTTTATTTCTATGAGGAGGAGTAATTCTGAGGGGTCAAACCAAGAAATAATAAAAAAAAAGTGACAAAAAAGTTATTTTTATAATGACGAGTTTTGCGGCTCCCAGTTTTTTTTTCCTTCGGAAACGGGTCCAAGTGGCTCTTTTTGTCTTAAAGGTTGCAGACCCCTGGTCTACGGGATATCTAACAATCTGGAATAGCAGCGGGAAGCAGCGGGAAACGGCACTGGAATAAGGGAATTTCCCGCAAAAAAAGGGAAGGTTGACAGCTATGGTAATAGTATGACTCTGAATGTCTTTAAAGGAGCCTGCTTCTGTGAGAAAGGCGCTTCACAGACCCATTGAAATGGCCCTAAGTTGGTCCTGTCTTATTAATTTCAGTGGGCCTACTCTGAGTCAAACGTACACTGACCTGGGTACCCAATTAGTTCTAGTCCCAGCCAGTAAAACTGTGCTTTCAGATGACCTAATAAGCTGGTGAACTCTAGACTGTGCCAGGCTCCACCCACCTCATTCTGCCCTGGTCCTGCCCACAAGCCAACAGGCTGCACCCCCTCCCCTCACATTCTGCCCTGACCTGCCAGATTTCACCAGTCTGCCCCTTACCAGATTTGGCCCCACGGAGTTGAATGCCTGTGGAGGGTGGGGGGCTGCTATTTTTTGAAATCAGAAATGTGCATGGGAGGGAGAAGGTGGTTGTTTGTGTAAACCCATCTGGGTGTGTTCAGAGGCTGGACTGCCCCACAAAAAGGACAGTTACTTAAGCATGTGCCCTGGGCCCTACAACAACCTTGGGCTGGGTCCCTCTGATTTCTATCTTCCCCCAGTTACACAGAGCCCTCACTATATGTGCTCCATGTTGAATAACCATAAGCCAATTCCATCCTCAGCTCCCTGTGGGGAAAACCTTTATGATGAGGATGGCAAGCGTTTCCCTCAGTGCATCCCTGGCGCATGGCTGACTCCCGCAATCATGGCCTGCTACCTCTTGGTAGCCAACATTCTCCTGGTCAACTTGCTGATTGCTGTTTTCAAGTGAGTGTTTTGCTTACAAGGGAGCTACTCACTCTGGGTTCCTTCCTACTGTGAAGAAGTCTGGTGGAGTTTATTAGGGGGACCCTGAGAAAGGTAGGTGAAGGATCAACTGTGGTCAAAGAGAGCGAGGCTGCATCCACAAGAAATGTAAGTTTTTCTCAATTTGGAATTGTTTGTGCTCTTCATGAGCATGCTGCTTTAGGTCAAGATGCTATCACCCTGCTGTCAGCAAGGGTGGGGTGGATACTTGATACACACTTGAAAACCCTCCCCTTGATCAGGTTATTCATGCCTTTTCCTCCCTGCACATGTCCCAGGGAAATAGAAAAGCAAGGAGTGACTGTGATCTTGGTACACACCAGACTTTGGGCAGGTGAGAATACACCCTGGCATTGCCAGGGCTGCCTACATCCATCTGTTTTCTGATTAAAATTTTGCGGGGTAACACAGAAGCAACCTGCAATGAACATTTCTTTTCAGAATGAAACCAGTTTCCCAAGAAGCCCTTTTCTGGGGTGAAACATATGCAACAGATCTAGACTGTGTTTGGACTGTGTACTCAATCTCCATTGATTCTAGAATAAAGTGCTGTGTGTATGTAGGACAAGGGCAAGGGAAGGGTGGAGCTTCATCTGTTTAGATTAGGACTGAAACATCTGTGGGCCTCCAGGTAGGAGCTGTGGTCCAGCAACAGCAGGAAGACCACATAAGTTGCCCTCCCTGGGTTTAGATGAGCTGCTACTAGCATTAGGTCTCATATGAGTGCTTGCTTTAACACGTACACACAAGCGGGGGAGATGCCTGTATTTACTGCTCAATCACACTGTTATCTTTTGCTGCCAGTATCCAAAACTGGATTGCTGGTGGGTGTAGATCCATGCCATTGTCCTGGGCACTGTGCCCGGTTTGGGTGCTGTCCTTTGAAATCAGACTTGCTCACAAAGCTATCTTTTATTTTGCTATCTACAGTAGAATATTCAATAGCTGAAAAGGTCGTGCATTTTAAAAGGAGTCACATGCCAGTCGCAGAGCTAAATTTAAAAGGGAAAAAAGAAGAAGAGAGAAAGTGATTCTCTTGCATGCACAATGGTGGTTATCTGAAGGGACTGCAAATAAAATCAACATTGTAGGAAGTAGGTCATGGAGTTAACCCATCCTTGCTTGGTAGTCATAGGGATGGGCCATGTTTTGTTGCACTGCTAATGCTTCTCTTCTCCTGCAGAAGACTTGGGGGTGCAATTTGTTGACTCTCACAAAAATGAAAAGAGACAGTGCAAGAACAGTGAAAGGATCTACATGGCCAAACGCCATTGCACCAAATTGTCAAGTAGTAAAATATAACCATCACCATTAGGGATGAGGGAGAAAAACAATACACAAGCTGAAATGCAGCTACCTTTCAAAATTTGCATTTCTCCAGTACCTCTACAGCCAGTTTTTGGCATCTGTCAAGAGACAATGGAGTGTGCCTCTGTGGGTGAAGTCCAATGGCTGCATTAGCAGCACTGAAGTGACCTCCCTGGGGTGCAAGCCTGGACAGTGTGTATGGAGGCTGCCTCTGGCTGCCCAGATCACAATAAAACCCTCTTGGCCTCACTGATGTGGTCCAAAGGAAAGCAGAGCAAGATGTTTGGCAGTATCCTGGCTGCAGGAGTTGCCAGAAGGAGGTGTACAAGATGCCATCCAACTGTCTTACGGACTCCACTCCAGATTTGTGTAGGGTTTGCTCCTTAGACTTTTCTTCTCCCAAAGATATCTTACAAAGCAGTGGAGGTTTAGAATCACATTTTTCCTTCTCCTAGGAGGGCTTCCTTCCCAGGTTGGCAAGCCCCATCTGCCCCTCACTTCTCTCTACAGCACATGCAGAAACCACCTTATTGGCCATTGGACCCACCGGTACATAAACTGGTAGGGGGGAGTGGTCCCCAGTTGCTGCAACTGCTTCATAGAGTGTGGAACTGGGAGTAGCTGCCTAGATACCAGATTGGTGTGTGTAGGTATCTGGAGCAGTAGAAGCAAAGCAACTATGTTATCTTTGACAATAAAGAGTGAACTCTCTGCCATGCGCATTCCTTTGACTGGAAGCACCCTTGACAGAAAGTCCCTAACTCACCAAAGTGTTGAGACCCATCAGCTACCTTCATCTGGTTTAGCTGACCAGTTAAAGCATTTGTGGACTCAAACCCAATTCCCTGAGTTCAGGAACACTTGCGTCATAACAAATTTGTTAGACTTTAAGGTGCCACAAGACACTTTCATATTTTTGCTACCAGAGCGTAACACAGCTGCCCCTCTAGAAGTGTTTTTCAGAAAGAAGTGTTTGGGATCCATAAGCAAACAGTATCTGGGGGTGCTAGCTGCCTCTTTCCAGGTCTGGTGTGGGGGCAGTGGTCTTCTGAGAGAGATTTGCAAACATTGCTATTTAGGTCAAGCTGATCAGCATTTTAAAAAGCAAGACAATGTAGAGCTTCTATGGGCTTTGATGTTACAAAGGGCCTTTCATGAGTTGAATTTTTAATGTCACATCAAACGCCAGGAGGTGTTGTTTGCAATGTTCAGTTTGAGCCATGCTTCAAATAATCAGCTCCAAAAGAAATGATATTTTGCAGAGGTCCTTTTGGCAGTGGGCAACTGGTGCAACTCTCTCCCCAGTGGTTGCCCTTCTAGTCCATACTGAGACATTATGTGGGCATGAGAGCAGCAATTGTTGGGCACCACCCTACTCTTGAAATCTCAATAGAACAAATCTGCCCATTTCAGTTCCTCATTTTTCCAATCTGAAGTTCAATTTGCCTCATTTCTGCATCAAGTTAGGGATCTTTCTTCTGTCTGCACTTTTGTCTGCATCCCTTCTGATGAATTTTGGACATAATTTTACCAAATATATGCATTTCTGCAAGCAGTTTTCCCAATATAATGCATGTTTTAAAGGTAATTTTCACTTACAAGATGCACTTTCGTGCACACTTATTGGTTGGAGAAGTGTCTTGCAAAATTTAGAGAAGTGCGAATTCCATAGGGTAGCTGTACTTCTATTTGCTTATTGTTTCAGGAAGTGTGAATTAGGAAGGTTAACTATTGCAAACTGAATCAATCCCCTTCAGTCCCTAAGCTCAAGGAGAACTGGTCCCAGATCTGTTTGATCTGCACTATTTATTTCTGAACGGATGCCATCATTTGCATGGCAAGGCAAATAGGCTTCACTCTGGAGGCAACTTCCCCTCTCTGTGCCATGTTCTTGTCCCCACCCCAAACGTGGGAACTTTAAACTGGCAACATGTGAAGAGACGACTGAGTTCTCACAACTTTTACTTAGCTCTCTGGCAATTTTGTAGTGAAGCTACTCAGCAAGGGTGTATCTTTTGCAGCAACACCTTCTTTGAAGTGAAGTCCATCTCCAACCAAGTCTGGAAGTTCCAGCGGTATCAGCTGATCATGACCTTCCATGACCGGCCGGTGCTTCCTCCGCCCATGATCATCTTTAGCCACCTTTATATCATTATAGTTCGTCTCTGCTGCCGCTGCAAGAAACGAAGAGAAGGGGACCAAGACGAACGCGACCGAGGACTGAGTATGTGGGGGGACAGACATTCTCTCTGTGCTATGAGTCTGGGTTGACTGGGCACCATATAGCAGGGGTCAGGCAGGGGTTTGAAGGTCCCATCCATAGACCATCTGCAAGCAGAAAGTCAGCACAGCAGGGCTCCAATTGGGATCCTTCTTGTTTTGACTTTCTGCCCACCTTTCGTTTTTGAAAGGTGGGGAGAACTCAGAAACATCCCCCATCTATAGCCACTTTACTGTCTCATGCTGCCGTGTGGGGAGACCAGGCTTAGTTGTACTAAATCAAAAGCGGCTGGGTAACCTGTAGCTGGACTACAACTCCCATCATCGCCGATTGCTATCCAAAGTGGCAGGGGCTGATGGGAACTGTAGGTGCTGGAAATGGTTGTGAAAGGGGTACACAGAATGGGATAGGATATTGAAGGGATAATCTGTGTCCCTGAGTCGGGTGAACCAGCCCTAAGCGGGCAACCTTGAGCACACTTTCTCACTGAGCACAGTGAGTAAGCATGCATAGGGTTATTTATGCATGTATTTCATAAAATTCATAGAGCGCTTGAATGTTAAAGAAAAAACCCCTCATAGCAGTTTACAAAAAGGATTGGGATGCATATCTCAATAAATACGGTGGGCTTGTTTCTGAGTAAACATGATCAGGATTGAGCTGTTGATATTTTAGACTACTTTCCAATAGTTGAAAAAGTTTTTCTGACACAGGACTCCAGACTGGATTTTAATTTCTGCAAGGGACAGTGTGAAAACTGACATACTATAGAAATTCAGAGTGTTTAGCTACTGCCTGCTTGCCAGATTTTTGCCATATGGCTCCAGGCTAGAATATGCACCGAACTGTACCTGGACATTGCAAGCCTCACCATGTCTACTCAGATCTATTTACTCCCAGAAAAGTGGGGTTAGACCTGCAGCATCAGAGCCTAATGTTCATTACACGTAGCCTGAAAATGCACATTGAGGTGGTAGTAGTCTCTTCCGAGTTTAAGGGGTTTGATAGACAGGGTAAAATACATGCTTTCCCTGCCTCAATTTCTTTCAGAGCTGTTTCTAAATGATGAAGAGTTGAAAAAACTGTATGAATTTGAGGAGCAATGTGTTGAGGAATATTTCCGACAAAAGGAAGATGAAGAACAGTCATCAAATGATGAACGTATTAGAGTCACTTCAGAAAGGTAGCCAGTGAATTTGTTTATTTTCTTGCCAGTTGCAGAGGGCAAAGAGGAAGCATGGACTTCAACACTAGAGTCCTTTGGAGATGTTGAAGGAAAGAGTAAGGCAACACAATAAGTTTGAGATTCTACTTTAAGACTGCCAATAATAAATCCTCCTCCTCCTCCTTCTTTATATCCTGCTCATCTCACAGTGCAATTATATACATGTCTACTCAAAGGCTTATTAAATTCAATGAGACTTACTCATAGGGATGGGGGAGAAATTCAATTCAGTTCACATTTAAAGGTAAATCTACAATATTTTGAATCAATATATGAACTGCAACATGACAATCCTTCGGAATTTGCACTTATCTAAATTTTGCAATTTATGGACGCGGGTGACGCTGTGGTCTAAACCACAGAGCCTAGGGCTTGACGATCAGAAGGTCGGTGGTTCGAATCCCCATGATGGGGTGAACTCCCATTGCTCTGTCCTTGCTCCTGTCAACCTAGCAGTTCAAAAGCACATCAAAGTGCAAGTAGATAAATAGGTACTGCTCCAGCGGGAAGGTAAGCGGCTTAGTCATGCTGGCCACGTGACCTGGAAGCTGTCTGTGGACAAACGGCAGCTCCCTCAGCCTATAGACCGAGATGAGCGTGCAACCCCAGAGTCATTTGTGACTGGACTTAATGGTCAGGGGCCCCTTTACCTAAATTTTGCAATGCAGTTCTCCAACCAATGTTAGAAGTCATATACTGGAGTAAATTGTACATACTAGTGAATATGTTCATGAATATCCAAAAATGTATATATTACATACATTAGGGTAAATTGTGCAGAGTGTACTTTCATGCTGCACACTTAAGACAAAGGGGAAGTAGGGGAGAAACAGGCACAACCTCCTCAGTGGTAACAAGAGTTTGCTGGTAGTTGCCCCTAGGTAAGGAAGGATCTGCCAATTTCATTTCTCTCTGTTTCTCAATTTTACCCATCTTAAATTCAGTCCTCAATTTCACTGCAATTTGCATTTTTAAAAATCTCATGAAAAATTGTCAGCGTCTGAGTGCAATTTTCTCCCAATAAACACATTTTGGCACATAGTTTTGACTAATATACTCATTTCTGAAAACAACTTGTGTGGTTTTTTGTGTTCTTTTCACTAACATATTCATTTTGCACACATTTCCTCCAGTACATGCACTGTTGTACGCACTACTTGGTTGGACATCTGCACCCCAAAATTCTGAGACACACAAATTTTGAAGGAGAGTTGTGCTTAGGATCAATATTGGTTTGAGGGCTATGAATTAGATCAATTTTCATTCAAATGCAAACAAAATATAATTTCTCTTCCATTCCTAGTAGCCCCCCTCCCATGGCAGGGAATTAACCTGCAACTCTTGGGGTTCTTCTTACTCAGGAAGTTGGGATGATTTGCAAGGTGTCACCAAATATGCTGGGGTATCACAAACTGCCTGTGGGCCCTCTGGCAGCTTGGCAGTGCCCACAGTACCATGCAAAAATATTCTAAATATCGTAAGAATTCAACCAAAGGAAACTGCAAGAGAGGAATGTGTGACGTCTAGCTAAAATACTGTTATAATCCTTCTAAGTTATTCTAACACTCTCTGGTTCTTTTCTTTTCTTGGTTTTATTATAATTAAGTTTGTGGCAGCCAATGGCATGAACAAATGAGTAATAACCTACTGATTAACTGAGTAAAACTGGAAGCTCTAATAATTAATAAAACAGCTGTCCTCCTCATAAGTGCTGTTCTGGGCTAATAATGACAGTGCAGGATAAATCTGTGTTGCTTAATGAATTTATCCCCCCCCCTTTGAATTCTATAGAGTTGAAAACATGTCTATGAGATTAGAAGAAGTGAATGAAAGAGAACATTTCATGAAAGCCTCTCTCCAGACGGTTGACCTTCGACTTTCTCAGCTGGAAGAACTCTCTGGCCGGATGGCGAATGCTCTGGAGAAACTGGCAGGCATCGACAAGGCTGAGCTGACTCACACACGTTCCCGGGCATCCTCGGAATGCGATGCTGCTTACCTCCTCCGGCAAAGCAGCATAAACAGTTCTGATGGCTACATGTACAGGTACCACGGTGATGATCTTGCCTATGATGACCTGCCTACCCCAATGTCTCCAGCCTTGGCTTTGCGTAAAGCGGATTCAAAGCTACAGCTGGCTCCAGAACGCCAAGGAAGTATCCACTCTGCCACAAGCGCCTCTACAGATCACAGCAAAAACACTTTAGATGTTACGCAGAATGTTTCTCTATCCCGTTCTGGCTCAGTTGACAGGCAGGAACACTGTAAGAATGAAGAGACAACACCCCAAACTCTCAACCAAATGGATATGGTTGGGAATGGGCAGCCTGGAACTGGACCAAAAATTCAGAACCCTCATTTAGCGTTAGAAAAGGCCAAATTAGAAGCCACCATCTCCTATCCTTTGGACAAACCTAGGGCAATGAGGTACTACCCTTCTGAAACATTCAACGCTTGCGAAGCAAGCATGATGAAATCAAGGAGTTACATATTTGCACAAGGTGGAAATATGGTTGGAGGAGTTAACAACCGGACCATTATGGACCAAGAGTATAGGACCATCATGGATGAAGTGTGCCCTTCCACAATTGAACAATGGACTGCCGAGTGGAAGTATGAGGTTCAGCAGAAACTAGCTAGTGAGCCTCCTCCTGAATATCCTGGCATTGTGTCTGAAGCGGAGATGCAAGCTGAGCGGAAACAGCTACTGACTGACACCGAAGAGGACAGTGATGTTGGTGAAGTGGTGGGTCTCAGTGCCTCCCATCCTTCCTCACCTGTCACCAAAAGGATCCACACAGACAATTTGTTGTCAGTGAAATCTGACAGGACTTGTGGTTTTCCTTCCGTACGGTCAAAGAGTTTACACAGCCATTCCCGAAAACCCAAGTCCATTAAGGACAGGCTTAATAGACCAGGACATGCCAGCAGTGTCAGCAGCCTAGTGGTGACCTGTGGGACTGCAACGGAAGAGCAGAAAGCAAAACAAGAAAATGCCTCCGCAGAAACTGAATGCTAAAATGGCCTTTTCTCAACAAGCAATAGTTGGGAGATGTTGTTAAGCCAGGACACCACAGGTAGAAGTGACACCCCCAAATGCCCATCCTTTAAAGAGCCAGTTTGCATTTGGTAGCTCACTATGTTCGCTTTTACAGATGCATTCATGTCCAACAGTTCCTGCTTCAAAGCACTTCCTGCTTTTGTGAAGGGAAGGTGTGCTCTCCCTGAGGGGCATAGCTACCTCTGGAGGGCCCGGCCAACAGTGTCAACATGGATTCTTTAATTCATTATGTCAATGATTCTAAAAGCAATGTAGTTCAGTGAGCTGGAGGCTGGATCCTCCTGACCCATAAGAGCACCACTGCTTAAAACAACGGGTCTCATTGAGCGATTGACAGGCCAACAGCACTCTTTGTGGGCTTCAGGGCAATGCTGCAGAATGAATCACCAAGAGGCCCTTTTTTAACACACATAAAAAGTGGCACAATCAGCAGCTCTTCTTCTTGCAAAAGTGAATGTTGTGTGTGGCAAGTGTATATTCCCTCAGCACCCAGTACAGGTATTTATCAAGGATATACCCACATATAACACTGTATGTGTTAATTCCTGTCTACACTCACTGCCTGCAAACTCCCTACACTGAGGATCCTTGAGAGACAGCAGTTTCCCATATCTATAGTGGCACCAAGGAAGAAAGTGGGGGCAAGAAGGAGTACCTTGTGGAAGAGGTATGACTTTGTGAGCGGAGTCTTACTGGCACTATTTTTACACCACTGTTGTTGTTCTGGTCAGCCAGTTTGGGCTAGTGGCAATCACATAAATCTTTTTTTCAGGCATAGTTCAGCCAACTGCAGACTTAAATAAATGTGTTTTCAGAGTTGGTTTTTTAAAGATCATCAGTGTTGAGGTCAAACATATCTCCTTGTTCCAAAGCTGAGAAAGTCCTGTTCTTGTACCCAACAGTCTCATTGCTCTTAGGAGAGGACCAGACAGCAGGGCCTCAGAAGCTTCATGCTTAGGCAGACTCACTTAGGTGTAAGTAGGTCATTAAGATAACATGGTCTCAAGCCATTTTTGAGGTAGAAATGTCACCACAGTATTATTTCTTTCACAAGAGTAGGTGGTATTCTGGAACCGCAGTCAGCCAATTAGATAAAGTGCTTGGAAAAAAAAAAAGAACTAAAAAACTTGCCCACGAGTATGTGACATGGCTTTGGGGTTTCTCCCAACCCCACCCACTCCAGTGCACCAGTCCAGCTGGTGTGCTTATAAAAACTAGTACCGTATTGGCCCAAACAGAAGCCACACTTCCCCCCCAAATTCTGATTGTGAAAAGTTAAAGTGTGGCTTATATTTACTACCTTATGGTATTGATGCTGAAACAGCTGCCCACGAGGGCTGTCGGGGGTGCGGGACAACGGCGCCCATCTTGATCGCATCTCCCAAGCCTCCCCCAAGCCACGGTAAGGAAGGGGGAAGGGGAAGAGGCCACCGGCAAAGCAGCACAGCTACCGCCCCCCCCCCCCGCCAGGAAGCAGCCCGGGAGCATGGGGCAACAGTGCGCAGTCCACCTGCCACTCCCAAGCCTCCCTCGGTGCCAGTTTGGGGAAGTAGTGCCAGGAGGCAGGCGCACAGCGCACTCGGAACCAAACACCAGCACCAGCCGCCCCCCTGCCCCCCGTTCAGGGTGGTAGTGCCAGGAGGTGGGCCGCACCCACAAATAAGCCTTGAAATTTAAAGATGCAGTTTATTTGTGGGTGTGTCTTATATTCGGGCCAATACAGGAACTTCTAAGCTTGTGATTTTACTGTTTGGGGACGCTTTCGCTTCAGGTGATTCCCATACCTCAAATGCTATCATGTGACTCAGCAAGTCCTTGGTTTAAGGCAGGGGTGTTTTTTGGTGATCTGCAAGCAAAAGGTGAACGACGACAATGGGGACTTGAAACTTTGATTGCATCTAAGGGCAAAACTAGATGTTACACTCAGCTGCACATGGCATTACTCGGGTGGCCCTCTTTATATTGAAAAGATTATTTCTGGAAATGCAGTCAAGATTGGAGAAATGGAGAAACTTAACTCACACCCCTGATTCAAATGATGTCCTCTCTCTACAACTTTCCCAACTGCATCTATGCCATTGCAAATGGACATTAGAACTTCCATGAGGGGCAAAATCCAAGGTGGAGGTGAACTGCAGCAGCATAATGGGGCGGGGGAGCAACCTTGTCCAGTCCCAACTGCCCTTCGAAAAGCTGCTTTTTCTGCTCAAAAAGGGGCATCAGGGTAAAGGTAAAGGGACCCCTGACTATTAGGTCCAGTCACGGATGACTCTGGGGTTGTGGCGCTCATCTTGCTTTACTGGCCGAGGGAGCCGGCGTTTGCCCGCAAACAGCTTCTGGGTCATGTGGCCAGCATGGCTGGTGAACCAGAGCAGCGCACGGAAACGCCGTTTACCTTCCCGCCAGAGCGGTACCTATTTATCTACTTGCACTTGACGTGCTTTCAAACTGCTAGGTTAGCAGGAGCAGGGTCTGAGCAACAGTAGCTCATCTCATCGCGGGGATTCAAACCACCAACCTTCTGATCGACAAGGCCTAGGCTCTGTGGTTTAGACCACAGCACCACCTGTGTAGGAATGCACAAATTTGCCTGATTTGGCTTCTCTTGGTTTCTAATTTTTCCACTCTTAAATTCAGTTCTCCACACACACACCAGCATTTTTTTATTAGTCCTTATGAAAATTCAGCAGTATTTCAGTGTGAATTTATCATAAAATACAAATCTTTGTATGCCTAAAATACACACTTTTGTGAAAGTTTCCCCAAATATACTCTATTGTGTGCTATTTTCACTATTCCATGCATTTTTTTTTTGCACATTTTAGTACTGTTGTACCTTTGAACGGAATCAAAGTGCGGCTTCTGATTGGCTGCAGGAAGTTCCTGCAGCCAATTGGAAGCTGAGGAAGCCCCATCAGACATTCGGCTTCCAAAAATAGTTCGCAAACTGGAACAGTCACTTCCAGGTTTGCAGCGTTTGGGAGCCAAAACATTCAAGAACTAAATTGTTCAAAAACCAAGGTACAACTGTACATGCATTTTTGTAAACATAGGTTGGCTAGAGAATCACACTGCAAAATTCAGAGAAGTGCTAATTTCTAAGGAAGGCCACATTTCAGTTTGTGTATTGTTTCAGAAATCGTGGATTAAGATATCTAATTAAGATATTACTACTAATCCAGAATACAGCAGCTAGACTTGTGACTGGGAGTAGCCACCAGGACCATATAACACCAATCCTAAAGGATCTACACTGGCTCCCAGTACATTTCCAAGCACAATTCAAAGTGTTGGTGCTAACCTTTAAAGCTCTAAGTGGCATTGGCCCTGTATACCTGAAGGAGTGTCTGCACCTCCATCATTCAGAGTGGACAGAGATCTAGCTCCAAGGGCCTTCTGGCAGTTCCCTCACTGCAAGAAGTAAAGCTACAGGGAACAAGGCAGAGGGTCTTCTGGGCAGTGGAGCCCTCCCTGTGGAACACCCTCCCATCAGATGTCAAGGAGATAAAGAACTACAACTTTTAGAAGACATCTAAAAGTTCCTCCCTGTATCAGGAAGTTTTAAATGTCTGATGTTTTATTATGTTTTTATGTGTTGGAAGCTGCAAAGAGTGGCGGGAGAAACCCAGCCAAATGGATGGGGTATAATAATAATAATAATAATAATAATAATAATAATAATAATAATATCTCACACCCCTACATCAGGCTACTGTTACACGTCTGCACACATGTCTTGGCCTTCACAGTCTTGTATTATCTGTTTGGCATAGCCCCAAATTCCTGCACCTTCCTAAAAATCATTTGTTAATGTACCCTGTAGGTCTCTATAGTTCCTGATCAAATTATGTCGAACAGAGGTGATTGCCTTAAGTGATAGCATCACATGGGTGGTGCTGCCTTGTGGAAGAACTGTTAATAGACATTTGATAGGAAGGGACTGCTTCAGAGCACTCCAAATGCGGTGGGGGTGGTGCTATCTTTGAGTTACAGTAAGGGTGGATAGGTAAACTCTAAGGGAGAAAATTGAAGACTTGCTTAAGGGACATTTGTATTCAATGACTGCAGAAGCAGCGAAAGAGGAAATGAAACTTGCTTTATGAATAGAAGCAGGTGAAAGTTATGAGACCTGCTCAAAAAAAGAAATAGCAGCTGCCTTGTACCCTGATCTACAAGTCAATTGCCAGAATCTCCCACAGAAATGCTGGGAATTGGGAGAAATTTAAACGGAGTGGTGGCTGTTCCTTTTCCCCTCCCTCCTGCATCTAGCTCCCAGTGCCAATGTGACAAACACCAGCAGGTGCTGAATCGTGTGCTGGAGAACCAGGTGATATTTACCCCACAAACCTGCTTTTGCAAGCATTTCCATTTTGCACACACCAGAAATGCACAATCTATTCACAACTAGCTCTGCACCCTTATGACACAGGAGGAAAAGAAGATGAAGCTTCATACCGAGCCAGACCATCTAGCTCAGGATGGTCTACTCTGACTGGCAGCAGCTTTCCAGGTTTTCAGGCAGGGAGTCTTTCCCAGCTTTCCCTGGAGATGCTGGAGAGAGAACCCAAGACCTCCTACATGCAAAGCAACTGCTCCACCACTGAGCTCTGCCCCCGGGTTGTGCGGGTTATTCAGATACAGCAAATGGGGAGTTGGCAAGTGGTTTTTTCTTCTTTAAAAAACTTACTGGATGTTTTTGTGGAAAGAGTAAATCTGGATTAAATGTGGGGAAATCTGGGCTGGCAATGATGTTCATGTGGACGCTGAGAAAAACGTGCATGCAAGATAACACTAATCCCACAATAAACCCTTGTCTGGAAGTACTCTTCATTTACGGATAAAAGCATTTAATTTACTACAGCTGCTAGAGACATTGATTCAATTTGCACATACACTGTAGAACCAACATGCTAAAATCTAGATTATTTCATATTCATATTGTTATTTCTAAGAGAAACTTAGCATTTAACAATGAATAAACAACAACTAAAACCAGATTAAAAAATTTGAAAATCTGATCTATTCTTCTTAAATTTAAAAACCTTACTTTTTTTAAAAAAAAACTTGATTTTTATTTCTCCCTTGTCTTAGCAGAGCTTGCAGGAGTCTTCCATGAAAGGTGCACATATATGCACCCTGTAGTCTCAAAGTCGTGCACTGGGACTGAGTTGGATGTGCTCCTACACGGGCATATTGCTGGTGTAGGACAGCAGTGGTCACTGAATCCTGTAGCCTCCTGAGCTTCAGCACAGAACGGCACAGTTACTTATACAAAGGTTAGCTTTGTAGCATTACAACTAAATAATATATGATAATTTATTTCCTTTTGTGAACAGCATTCTATTATGAGTAACGGAAGTTCTTCCTGTTCTTTCCAGGAGGCTGCTTTCCCCCCTGCAAAGGTGGAGGTTTTTTTCTTTTTAATCAAACCATTAAGCACATTACCTAAGTAAAATTAGAGGTCAAAGGTTTATGTTTAACTCCTGGTAGTCCTATTGCGTACAATAAACTTAAAAGTATTGCAGCTGGATCCTGAGTTGCTTTGTATGCAGAATCCCATTTCAGTGGCTCTCCTCTTTCCCACGGACCAAGGGGGTTTTTTGGTGGTCACTCTGTGTCTCCTCCCTACACTTAGCATTTTGGTTCCCCTAACTCTTAGGCTTAAGGAGACAAGTCAATCTGCAAGCCTCTTCTTCCCCAGCAGAAAAAGCAAAAAGACAAAAATAGGAACCCAGACACATGAAAGGGAAAGCTTCCCCAATCTGGCGCCCTCCAGGTGTTTTGGACTACAACACCCATCAGAGCAACTGGAGGGTATCAGGTCAGGGAAGGCTGTTATAGAGTGTGCTCACAATGGAATCCAGAAAGTGGCTTCACATACCTACACCCACACCCCACTGGTATATTGAAGCAAAGGCTTTCTTTGAGACTCCTTTTTAAGCATTATCTCAGAAGTTGTTTACAACGTCATGATTACAACAATGACATGTAATAGAATTTGGTAGCCTTGCCACTCACAGTTTACTTTTGCATAACAGTTTTGTGCAATTACATGATCATTTGGCTTTGCATGTCTGGTGATGCTATTTGATATAATATGCAGATGCCTTTCATTGTATGCCTGTATTCCATCAGCAAAAAACAAACAAAACAAAACCCCAAACCCAGCAACATCATTATGAAGTGATGTGTTAACTAAGCCTTTATCCTTTGTTTCTGGTACTGAAATGATTGTCATACAAGTTAATCCAAGAATAATATGGAACTCTCTGAAATGACACCTTTTCTTATCTTTGTATTTTTGTGTAAAGCATTTTAAACAAAAAATATATATTAAGTAAGGACTGTATTTTAAAATGTAATAGCATCTTAATAAATTCACATTTTGTTTTTAAAAAATTGTCATGGAAAATCACAACTCACTTTGTTTTCTTAACTAGATGTTGAAGGGAAGGAAGATAAAAGAGTATATGGAAAAATATATCAAAGTTCTCCAGGCTTCAGGCTAAAAATAGGTGAGGAAGGAGGAAGGAGAGGGCACGGAAGCTGCACTGAAATAAGCTCCCATTGTGGCAGGGAAGACATTGCTCTCTCCCCAATGCACAAACAGAATCTGGCCAAACTGGTAGAATTCTTCGTTCACTGTACCTAAGCACAGCAGGCTAGCTTACAGGAACTAAAGGAGCAAGGGGTAGTTGCTGCCAAACACAGCATCTGCCACCTGAGGTAATTGCCTTCATCTGCTTAATACAGTGGTACCTCTGGTTACCTACTCAATTCGTTCCAGAGGTCTGTTCTTAACCTGAAACTGTTCTTAATCTGAAGCACCACATTAGATAATGGGGCCTCCCGCTGCTGCCGGAGCACAATTTCTGTTCTTATCCTGAAGCAAAGTTCTTAATCCGAGGTACTATTTCTGGGTTAGCAGAAGCGTATGTAACCTGAAGCATATGTAACCTGAGGTACCATAGTAGTAGAACTGACTATTAAGCACAAGTTAAGTTTAACTAGGAAGAAAATGCCTTACCCTCACCCAGGCATGCACACCCAGCCTGTGTTTTCTGCCATGTCCCCTCCCACACTTTGTGAAGTACAGCTATAAGAAAAATGCTTCCCCGCATGCTACTCTGGAAAGGCTCTGGTAATTCTTTTCTGTGGAATGAGGATCACAACAGCCAGCATTCTTGCAGAGATAGTTTTCTCCCCTAAAATAAAAAAGGTTTGAAGCCTAAAAGGGCAAAGGTTGGAGAAACTGGGAAAGGGATAATTTACCGCTGTGTGTTTAAAACTGTTAAACAAAAACTCTTAATGAGAAAACACAGGATGAAATCGAAGTGCATCTATGAAGGTGAAATGTGGCCTATATGCCGAAGTTTAATCCAAGGAGACCTCCAGTTAACCGTTAAACAGAGGGATGAATTCTGTGCTATCCGCTGTGTTCATACTGACTAATAAGCAACCTGAAAGTGCACTGCTTTTGAAGCCAATATTTGTCTTAACACTACAAAAACAACACATACCAGTAAATTCAAGAAATTCAAGAAAATAAATGTCTAATTTTGGCATATCTTTACACTTTCCTCAATAAACATAAATGTAATAAAAGAAATGAATAAAAAGGTAGTAAAGGGAATTTTGTTTCATTTTGCTTCTCTAATGTTTGAAAATTCACCAACATCACAAAGATAAAATTTTGTTGCACCAAATTCAGATACTTAGGGGTACATATAACCAAAAACCTCAACAAACTATACATCCACAATTACAAGCCCCTGTGGTGAGAAATTAACAAAGACTTCAGGAAATGGAACAACACCAACTTCACCCTCTCAGACAAAATAGCCATGATCATAATGATCACTCTCCAAAATTAACCTACCTATTCCAAACCTTCCCAATCTGGATTCCCCCAACCCAACTCTGTAGATGGTAGAAAAAAACTACACTCGTTTATTTTCTCGCACAAAAAGCCAAGAATAAGCTCCAAATATCTACACCTCATTTCCTCAGAAGGAAGATGGGGAATTCCCAGCATAGAACTACATTGCCAACCAAGTTCACCACATAATCCCATACATTCTAGAGGATGAGTCCACTGTGAGAGAGACATATTCAAAAACACCCCCATCACAGCATACCCATTCCTCCAAAACAAAGGAAAATCCCCACAACGCTAAACAGGTTTACACAAACTAGGGGACACCCAAATACCCTGGCTAACACACCACCAACTGCACGCCTTCTTAAGACAACCCAGCAGTTAAATCAGCTGCCACTAGGCCCTTGACCACCGCCGAAAACCTCCTCCGAACAGCAGAGGGACACGGCGAGGGGCTGGTACAGTCAAACCTCGGTTTTCGAACGTCTCGACTGCCAAATGTTTGGAAGCCGAATACCGAAAATCTGGAAGTGAATGCTTCAGTTTTCAAACACGCCCCGGAAGTTGAACAGCTTCTGAGGCACGTTTTTCATTTTTTCCCATTGACTTTGCAGCCAGCCTGTTGATCCTCAGTTTCCGACCGTTTTGGAAGTTGAACGAACTTCCGGAACGGATTATGTTCAAAAACTGAGGTTCCACTGTATCCACAATATACAGAATGCTGCCCCAGAATCCAACAAACCCCCTCAACGCAATCAAAAAACAATGGGAGTGTGACCTCCTAGGCTACGAAATAAACCCCACGCAGTGGACTAGAGGGGAACTGGCAGGCAGCCCTGCCCCCAACTGAGGGGGCAGAAACTTGCTTTCTTTTCTGGATACATTTCCCCCTTAAATTATGGAATAATAAAACATATAATCGATGGATTCAAAATGTTTAATGCATTTTGTTAAGGTTCAATTGCTTTGATGAATAAAAATAATGTCTTTTACGACCATTTAATTCAGCAAATGTTTGCCCTAAAAAATTATAATAGTTGAAAATAAAAAACCCTACATTCAACGCATGTGTGCCTTAGCAATGCTTGCCTCGATTGAAAAGGAAAAAAACCTCACGATTATTTATTCAATAAATGTTTGCCTTTAATTTTTTTAAAAATGAAAAGGAAGCCCTACCAGCGCCTTTCGCGGCGCTTCCTGCAACGCCTCGGGGAAGGGCCGCTGGCCTAGCCCGGGGTGGGGGGGAGGCCTCCGGTCTGGCGGAGCGGCCGCGTTTGACCCTCCGCCCCACCGTCCGGCACCTCCCTCCTTCCGCAACGAGCGTTGCTAGGAGACGAGAGGCGAGAGGGAGGGCGGGGTGGGAGAGGAAGAAGAGGCTGCCCGCCCTCCCCCCTCACGCCCCGCCCCTCGGCGTCTGGCTCGTGCTATTGGCCTTCCCCGTGGGCTGCGGCTCCTCCCCTTCCGGGGCGCCGGAGCCTCTAACTCCCGCCTTGGTAACCTTCAGAGCGGCGTGAGGATGGCGGAGGCGGAGTCAGGAGGGAGGGAGGAGCAAGCAGCGGCAGCCGACGCGACGACGGCAGCGGAGGGAGCGCGAGCGCGTGACGCCGGGGGCGTGGCTTCTCCGGCGTAGTAGCCGCCGCCGCCGCCGCCGCCGCGGGCGTGAGGTGGGGCCAAGAGGCGAGCCCGGAGCTCCGAGGGAGAAGGAGCGAGCGAGCGGCGAGCGGGGTCGGCCTGGCTCGGGAGTCGCCGCCGCCGCCGCGGTCATGTTTCCTCTCAAGCCCCCCAAGGCCACCTTCAAGTCCTACCTCTTGCCTCAGGTAAGGCGCGCGCGCCCGGGCGGCGGCTCTTTCCCCCTCCGGAGTCACTTTGGCTGTGAGGTGCGAGGAAGCCCCTTTCGGAGCTCCGGCTTGAGCTGCAGGGAACCGCCGCCGCCGCCCTCGCCCTCCTGCTGCTGCTGCGCGCTGGGCTGCCCCGCGAGTCTGGGGCAGGAGCGAGGGCGCCCCCTCCACCTCCGCCGGGCCCCTTAATAGAATAGCGCAGCCCTTGTGTCTTGCGGGGGGGGGGTCCTAAGCGGATGACGGACCGTCTGCAAATCCAAGAAATAACAGCGATGATAATAGGAAGCCTAGATTCATGCATGCGCGTGTTTCGATGTCGCACCTCGCCCTGGGACCTTAGAGTGGAGGGTGGGAAATAAATAATAACAGTAAGTGCAATTCGCACTGAGCTCAGTGGGACTTGTTTCAGTGGGTATCATGATTTGGCTTTTTTACAGCTGAAGTCACCCGCTCCTGTCTTTGCTTGGTGGGACTTGAGGAAACACTGAGTAATGCACAAGTTTAATAATAATAATAATAATAATAATAATAAACAACTTAATATTGCAGAAATGTAGCAGGTGGGAGAGGCTCCAGTGCAGCAGCATTCGCTGCACATATGGAAGCTTCCTTGGCAGCAAGTCAACTCCATGGGGCTGATTTCTGGGGAAACGTGTCCTGGAGCAGGGCTGTCACCTTGCAGTCCTAATGCATTACTTTGCAAAGAGCCCACTTCCCTCCTTTCCCTTAGTGCAACTTAACTTTTGAGGAAAGTGTGTCTAGGAAACCAGCTTGCAGTCTTGTGGGATTGACTTTTGCGTTAACGTGTTTAGGATTGGTTTCTGGTAAAGAATGCTATCCTACACATACCTCTTCTTGGAATAAGCCCCATTGGGGTTTGAGTCTGCATAGGCATGCATAGAATGGCCGTGTGTGAGGCATGCAGTTTGTTTTACTGTTTCCTCAGAAGCAAGCTCCATTGTGTTCAGTCTGTGTGGGCTTGTTTGTTAATAGCCTGAAGGATCAAAGTACAGTGGTACCTCGGTTTACAAACTTAATCCGTTCCAGAAGTCCGTTCTTAAACTGAAACCATTCTTAAACCAAGGCACACTTTCCCTGATGAGGCCTCCCGCCGCCGGTGCCCTTCCACCGTTTGGATTCCGTTCTTAGACAGAGGTAAAGTTCTCAAACCAAGACACTATTTGCGGTTTTGCCAAATCGTTCTTAAACTGGACTGTTCTTAAACCGAAGTACCACTGTATCACAGTCCCACTTTCCCAGAAAGTGGGCTGTGGAGATTCTAAGAACAATTGTGCTAATAATTTTAAATACAATGTTTCTGAAATATATACAGAGCTTGATGGAAAACTCTTAATTCAAGCAATACAGTACTAAAATCATGCCAAATTTGGAAGAAAAATAGGATAGTTGGTTCTGTATCATCCCCATGAAAGTGGCAGAATAACACATTCTTTAAAAATCACAACTAACTTTTCTTTTCTGTAAAGCTCCAATTTTCTCCTGTAGTTAGTGAAATGGGACAGCAGCCAAATGGCTCCTTAAACCAAGGTTACAGTCGCCAAAATGGAATGTCTAGTTGCAATTTTTGAGCAGGACGGCTCTAAAGTCTTGTTTTTCAAATAATGCACTGGCTGTGCTTGATTATCAGTTAAACATCTGGCTAGTTCAGGTGACAACCTGGAACTAGGTTAAGAACTTTGAGAACTGAAAGTAGAAAAATCACTTTATCCAGGGACAGTCCACATATATTCCCACCTCTTTTTCTTAATGGTGACAATCCCATTCACAGTGTAAGAATATTCTTCACAACTTTGAGCCGTGGGGTAAGTGAAGACAAGCTACAACACTGCTCTTGCTCAGGCTTTACAGAAAAAGCATTTTGGTTCTTGAAATTCATTCTGATTGTGCATGTAAAATATAACGGATAGAATTCTACAGGATATGGTGTGAAAACAGTCAAGATCCAATGATCCCTAGACATGCACCACCAGATGGTAGAGATGTCAGGTGCCATCCTGGCACCCAGGCATCTTCACTTGGTTGCAAGTGGTCGATAGCCAGGTGCAAAATGCACCTGGTGTCTGGCTAATTTTGGGCACTGACAAGGAACCAACAGTTGCAGGGTGAAGGTCAGGCAGACTGAAGCTCAGAACGAACACACTTTAATCTTCAAGAATTCTTGGAAAAGAAGTGATGTCCCTGCAGACTGGAGGTGTTGTTCCTATCTTCAAAAGGGCGGGGGGAAACCCAGTAACTATTGACTAGTGAGCTTGACATCGATTCCAGGAAAGGTCCTAGAACCGATAATTCAACAATCTGTGAGCACATAGAAAAGGAGGCCTTAATTACTAAAACCCAGCATGAGTTTCTCAAAAACAAGTCATGTTAGACGAATCTCATTTCTTTTTTTGATGGAATTACAAGCTTGGTGGATCAGGGAAATGCTGTGGAAATATTGTATCTTGATTTCAGTAAGGCTTTTGACAAAATCCCCTATTAGATATTTTTTGTGAGGAAGCTGATAAAATGAGGATTGAACAAGGTAACTGTTAGGTGGATTTGTAGCTGATTGATTGACCAGACCCAAAGAGTACTCATTAATGGTTCCTCGTCACCCTGGAAAAAGTGACAAGTGGGGTGCCACAGGGTTCTGTCCTGGGCCTGTTGTTGTTCAACATCTTTATAAACGACTTGAATGAAGGAATTGAGGGGATGTTCATCAATTTTTCATAAGACATCAAATTGGGATGGGGGAGCTAATGCCACAGAAGACAGAATCAGGATTCAGAATGACCTTAACAGATTGGAGAGGTGACACTAACAAAATAAATTTCAATAGGAACAAATGTCAGGTTCAGCTCTTGGGCAGGAAGAACCAGCTGCACAAATATAAGATGGGAGACACCTGTCTTGATAGTAGTACATGTGAAAAGTTTCTAGGGGTCTTGGTGGACTGCAGTGTGATGTAGCAGCAAAAAAGCTAATGCTGTTCTAGACTGCATAAACAGAATTATAGTGTCCAGAACAAGGTAATAGTACCACTCTATTCTGCCTTGGTCAGACTGCCTGGACTACTGTGTCCAATTCCGGGCACCACAATTTAAGAAGGATATTGACAACCTCAAACATGTGCAGAGGAGGGTGACCAAGATAATCAAGGGTCTGGAAACTAAGCGATACGAGGAGAGCTTGAAGGAGCTGGGTGTGTTTAGCCTGGAAAAGAGGAGACTGAGAGGAGATACAATAGCCATCTTCTGATACCGTATTTTTTGCACTATAACACTCACTTTTTTTCCTCCTAGAAAGTAAGGGGAAAATGTCTGTGCGTGTTATGGAGGGAATGCCTACGGGTGGCATGCCTACGGACTTTCCTCCTCTAAAAACTACGTGCGTGTTATGGTCGGGTGCGTGTTATAGAGCGAAAAATACGGTATCTCAAGGGCTGTCACATGGAAGTGGGAACAAGCTTGTTTTCTTCTGCTCTGGATGGTAGGGCCCAAACCAATGGCTTAAAGTTGCAAGAAAGGAGATTCCAACTAAATCTATGGGGGGAAATTCTGTTATTTAAGAGCTGTTTGACAGATTCCCGAGGGAGGTTGTGGACTTTCCTTCCTTGGAAGTTTTTAAGCAGAGGTTGGATGGCCATCTGTCATGGATGCATTAGCTGAGATTCCTGTATTGCAGGGGGTTGGACTGGATGACCCCTGGGGTACCTTGCAGCTCTACACTTCTATGATTCTTTGTCACCTCTTTTTGTGTATAATGCCTCTTTGCATACTTCCCTTTCCCCATTATTTGGCAACTAGTTTAAATATGTGGCTTCTTATATACTTGGCAAAATTTGCATTTCAGTGTTACAACAAGAAATAGAGTTGTCTGGCTCTCCTCAGACTATCCCTGCTTTTAAATGTCCAGTTCATAACTTGGAGGAATGGCTAATATGTTTATAGGGATTACTTTAATCACCTTTTTATCATTAGACATTCTTTGCTGTTAGCAACTACTTGCTGTTAATAGCTCAACAGGTACACAATTTTATATCACAGTATCTTGAAGTTGGGACGCGGGTGGCGCTGTGGGTAAAACCTCAGCGCCTAGGACTTGCCGATTGGATGGTCGGCGGTTCGAATCCCTGCGGCGGGGTGCGCTCCCGTCGTTTGGTCCCAGCACCTGCCCACCTAGCAGTTCGAAAGCACCCCTGGGTGCAAGTAGATAAATAGGGACCGCTTACCAGCGGGAAGGTAAACGCCGTTCCGTGTGCTGCGCTGGCTCGCCAGATGCAGCTTGTCACGCTGGCCACGTGACCCGGAAGTGTCTGCGGACGGCGCTGGCTCCCGGCCTCTTGAGTGAGATGAGCGCACAACCCTAGAGTCTGGCAAGACTGGCCCGTACGGGCAGGGGTACCTTTACCTTTACCTTATCTTGAAGTTGAATAAAACCTGCACCTGTTAAGTGCTAAAGGCACAAACTCTAGCAAGACAAAAAATATCAACCCTGGAGCTACTTTAAATTGCCTTCAAAGTACAACAATTTGAGTATAACATTGCTAGTATCTTGTATTTCTTACTTATTTTTAAATTTAGCTGTTCGTTAAATGAACTTCAGCCTGGACACTGAGATCCAGCTCTGAAGTGAGAAGTGAGGTTACATTGAACCAGGCAGAAGGCTTTTTTGGGAGTCGCTCCCGTCTTCCCACTAGATGTCAAACAGATAAACAGCTATGTGATTTTTAAAAGACATCTGAAAGCAGCCCTGTTCAGGGAAGTCTTTAGTGTGATGTTTTATTGTGCTTTTACTATTTATTTTTTTTCGTTGGGAGGGGCTGGGGCAACCCAGTCAGATTGGCTGCTGCCTAATAGTAATAATAGTAATAGTAGTAATAATAGTTGTTGTTGTTGTTTTCTTATTTTCTTATTTTTTATTATTATATAAAAAACTAGCCTGATTGTTTTTCTTTTTAAAATTCCTGTTTGAAGGATTAAAGTTAAAATGCTACAGTGGTGCCTCGCAAGACGAAAATAATCCGTTCCGCAAGTATCTTCGTCTAGCGGTTTTTTCGTCTTGCGAAGCAACCCTATTAGCGGATTAGCGCTATTAGCGGTTTCGTGGCTTAGCGGCTAAAAGGCTATTAGCGGCTTAGAAAAAGGGGGGGGGAGCAAAAAAAATCGCAAGACTCGCAAAACGTTTTCGTCTTGCGAAGCAAGCCCATAGGGAAAATCGTCTTGCGAAGCAACTCAAAAATGGAAAACCCTTTCGTCTAGCGGGTTTTTCGTCTTGCGGGGCACCACTGTACTTGATTCATGTTACTGAGAGATCTGAGGTTAATTTTTTTGGTACATCTAACTGATACAGCCAATTTAAACTGTATTTTAAACAGGAGCTTTTTAGCAAATGTGAAATACCCTGCTTTCAAAACTGATTTGCCATTAAACTTAAAAGTTGACTTCCTGAAGCAAAAAGGTGTTGGTTAGTGAAATTAAAGGGCTGGGAGAAGTTACTATTTTTTCACTGTGACATCAGATAAATTGGTGAGTAAAGTTAAAACCCTTGGGGTGGGGGTTGCTCATTTTTAAATAGGGTGAGTCCTGTTTCATACATGCATGGATGGACACAACCAGAAAATGAATGGAAAAAGAAAAGCTGACACATATGTCTGTCAAACCTGCTTACCTACTTTCCCACCCTTAGGAGTGAATAGGGAGGGGATGTTACCTCCCTTGCCTCTTCTACCACATAGAGAGGGCCCTGGCAGTGTGCTTCATCTGCCTCTGTCTCATGAGTTCTGTTGCATCAGACAAAAGGCCAATGTAGTTCAACTTAGTTCAACCAGATGATCTGGGAAGCGCCCCCCCCCCCAGCATAGAATCATAGAGTTGGAATAGACCACAAGGGCCATCGAGTCCAACCCCCTGCCAAGCCGGAAACACCATCAGAGCACTCCTGACATATGGTCATCAAGCCTCTGCTTAAAGACCTCCAAAGAAGGAGACTCCACCACACTCCTTGGCAGCAAATTCCACTGTTGAACAGCTCTTACTGTCAGGAAGTTCTTCCTAATGTTTAGGTGGAATCTTCTTTCTTGTAGTTTGGAGCATGAAGGCAATAGCCCCCTTTTTCTATTGTTTCCCCGCAAATGGCATTCAGTTGCATGCTGCCTCTGAATTGTATGGTACATATAGTGATGACATTCCCTGGAACTCACTCTCATGATGCCATCTCTTCTTGGCAGATGATAGATCTTGTGGAATATTGCTTCTAATTTTGCACCATGTGACAACACCATGTTGCTGTGGCAGAGCTTCTGATGAAAACTCCCCTGATATCACAAAAAAATTGAATTCTGCCAATTACCCATTCCTGGATCAAGGTTAACCATCGTAATTACTTTTTTTAAAAAAAAAAATCTGTGTCCCACTTCTTGACATAAAGCTTCTTCTTTTCTCCATTGTGTTGCTAATCAATAGATTTTATTGCGTTAGCCGTGTGGCCATAGCATGATATACATAGAAATAACAACATAAAATGGGGGTGGGGAGATAAAGGTAGATATCGTCCTGGGCGAGTACTTAAAGAAAGGGGGGGGAGGGGGGATAACAAAAGGGACAGGGGATTTAAAACATCGAGTGACAGATAGTACAAAAACAGAAAGACAAAAAACTGCTGAGGCTGGCGGAGGATCATTAAAGGGTCCTTCGGCTCCTCAGATTTGTCCTAGCTCCATTGTCCTTGTATAATAAGGCTACTTGGAACTTTGTTCGGTTGTGCGGCATATCGACTGCAGCTGTGGTGTTAAAGAAGAAGTTAGTGCCGCTTTCCTCTTCATCACACTGAGCAGGAAGTTAGCTGTCATCTCGGTAATCCAACAATCAGAATCCTGCAAAAAAAGGGACACTACCCAAGGCTGGATTGGGAGATGAAGCTTGTTCACGAGAGGAGTTAAAAACCGAGATCTTTCATCTGTCCAGTTGGGACAGAAGAGCATTACATGTTCCATAGTCTCCAGAGCCGTGTCATTACAGGTGCATGTTCTATTTGCGATGGGAACTCTGGAGTAACGACCCGACAGAACTGCTGTAGGAAAACAGTTGAGACGGGCACAGGTAAAGGCCCTTCGCTTAGCCTCCGAAGAAATTGTGAAGCAGTATAGAGGGATCCCTTCAGGGGGTGGAATAGCTAGGGCTAAGCCTGAACACGGCCCTCTTGCATGGGAAGCTGTGTTAGAGAAGTCAAGTTGCTGCAGCTTCTTTTTGATTAGAGGTAGGGCTGCCGGGCTTATACACTCTAAATTAAAAACAGTTTTGCGGTTCAAATTGAGAAGAGAGCGGAATTTGAGATTAATTGTAGTTTTCCAAGGAGAATTATGAATATCTCTTAGGATCAGATTGGAAAAACCATCTCTAATTCGAGCATCCGATGCTAGTAGGTGGGAGCTATAGGAAATGGCTCGACTCCATGCTCGTTTTACAATTGAGGGCTGGGCGAACTCAAGTCGTAGGGCTGCACCTGAGACACATCTCGGGACGCCGGAAAGAGATCTCAGAAACATATGAAGTGGGCGATCCAAGTTACCTGATATTGCTGTAGTCCATACTTCACAGCCATATAATAATTTAGGGACAACTTTGGCATTAAATATTTGAATTGTTGCTGGAAGGTGTTTGCCGCCCTTCTGGTGGTAAAATCGGACAATGGCATTAGAGGTCGTGGTTGCAGCGAGAAAGGCAGATTGTAGATGGGTGGTCCAGGAGAGATTATAGGTGAATATTAAGCCTAGATATTTAAAGGCTTTTACCTTTTCTAAGTAGCCACCTGTGATCTTAAGCGGCTCCAGCTTGAGTTTGCGGGAACGAGTGAAGTGGAGGACTTTCGATTTTTATAATTAATATTAAGAGCTTCCGCCTTACAATAGGCGATAAATGCATTAACTGTATTTGCTAGGTCCGCAGCTGTTCTGGATAAGATGACAGCGTCATCTGCATAGAAAAGGGAAACAATGGGGTGGCCTGCTAAGTGAGGAGGATACTTAGATGCTAGCTTCAAAGGGGTAATTGCATCATGAAGATAGAGATTAAACAGTAAAGGGGCCAAGAGACAACCTTGTCGGACGCCCTTGGCTGTTGGGAATGGAGTGGTAAGGGAGCCGTTGGGATCACTTCGGACGCAAGCTGTGGTGTTTGAATAAAGGGAAATAATTAGGGAGAGGAGGTGCAGATCAATTCCCAGATGGGCAAGTTTGGACCATAATCTCTGCCTAGGAATGGAATCAAAGGCGGCCTCCAGGTCCATGAAAGCGGCAAATAGGTGGCCTTGCCTTGGTGCAGTGTATTTACTGGCAAGGTGATAGAGAGTTAGACAGTGGTCCATGGTTGATGCTGACTTTCGAAAGCCAATCTGTTCTAGCGATAGAATGTTCCTCTCCTGGACCCATGAAAGAAGTTCTTCCAGTAAAACAGTGGCAAATATTTTCCCCGGAATAGATAATAAACTGATGGGGCGATAGTTCCTAGGGATGTTGCTGATCAAAATGATTTGTTTTCCTTTTGGCCAAGCACAATTGAAATGCATTTGCTTAGATTTTTACTCAGTTTTGGAATTAAGCTTTTTTAAAAGATAGATTTTTTAAAATCCTTGTAAGAACTGTGGAAGAAAATGCAAAGAAATAGAACATGTGACTAAAAACAGCATGCCAAAAAATCCCAGTAAAAGTGAGGCTGTTCCAAAGAGCTTACACCCTCTTCTTATGCCTGAGAAAGTTTTTTTAAATCTTCATGGCATGCTTTATGCTGCAGCAAGGTGTCCAGGAGGGTTTCTCACAGTTGCAGCATGTGCAGTTGCACATGCAAAGTTGATAAGACTTTACTTCCCATATTAACCCACTTGCATAGAAGCCAGTTGTCCTGATACTGCAGATAGTTGCCAGCCTTGTTGAAAGCATAATGTTTATACAGTGGTACCTCGCAAGACGAATGCCTCGCAAGACGGAAAACTCGCAAGACGAAAGCGTTTTTGGTTTTTTGAGTTGCTTCGCAAGACGATTTTCCCTATGGGCTTGCTTCACAAGACGGAAACGTCTTGCAAGTTTGTTTCCTTTTTCTTAAAACCGTTAATACAGTTGCGACTTGACTTCGAGGAGCAACTCATAGCACGCAGTGTGGTAGCCTTTTTTGAGGTTTTTGAAGACTTTGGTGATTTTTGAAGCTTTTCCAAAACTTTCCCGAAACCGTGCTTCGCAAGACGAAAAAATCACAAGACAAAAAAACTCGCGGAACGAATTAATTTCGTCTTGCGAGGCACCACTGTACAGCAGCGGTCATGCACTGTATTTGCTACAGACAGTTATGTCTGTGCCATAACAGTCTCAAATTGAGAGCTAAGGGCGGCTACCTATGTTTCTTTTATCTTTCTTTAATATCCTCTCTCCTCTTCATTTGCTGTCTCTCTTGGTCCTTTTCTTTTCTTTTCTTTATCTTTCTGCACGCACACACACACAGCACGAGAGAGAGCTATGGGTTAGGTTAGAATATGTATTTCAGACTAGGATTCTACAAGCAATTTAGATTAGTTCATGTATATTACATCTCTCTTTTATCACTATTGTGTTTCAGACTGAAGACAAGATAGCACCGGAGCCTAGACTTAAAAAATTGGAGCCAGTTCTTTTGCCAGGTAAGCATTCTTTCTGTTGCTGTGTTTTGGGGCCCATATGGGTATATGCAGGAACATGTTTGTCAATCTTTAAGATACCTCTTCCTTATTCTGACATCTCATCAGAGTTGCATTGGTATAATCTTTGTTCAGTTGGGATGCTGTGATATCTGCTCTCTAATAATGCTGAAGGGAGAACGTTAAAATGGGCTCTGGAAAATGCCCAATGATGTTTAGGGTTGTCCAGGGCACTTAAGTGGGGACGTGGGTGGCACTGTGGGTTAAACCACAGAGCCTAGGACTTGCTGATCAGAAGGTTGGCGGTTTGGATCCCCGCAACGGGGTGAGCTCCTGTTGCTCGGTCCCTGTTCCTGCCCACCTAGCAGTTTGAAAGGACTTCAGAGTGCAAGTAGATAAATAGGCACCGCTCCGGCGGGAAGGTAAACAGCATTTCTGTGCGCTGCTCTGGTTCGCCAGAAGCGGCTTAGTCATGCTGGCCACATGACCCGGAAGCTGTATGCCTGCTCCCTCGGCCAATAAAGCGAGATGAGTTCCGCAACCCCAGAGTCAGTCACGACTGGACCTAATGGTCAGGGATCCCTTTACCTTTACCTTTTAGGGCACTTAAGTAATTTGCTGGATGTGATCTTTGAGGTTCATGTAAGGATTTATAAATTTTAGAGGACTGGTTAAGATCATTTTGGTATTCTATATCCCAGATTCGTTCTTTAATTATACCGTATTTTTCGCTCCATAAGACACACTTTTTTCCTCCTAAAAAGTAAGGGAAAATGTCTGTGCATCTTATGGCGCGAATGCACTGGCAGCAGAGGGATCCCTCAGCTACAGCTGCAGTCGCGAGCTGAGGGATGCCTCCGTAGCCAGAGCCATGGCTCCCGTTGCTCGCTCGCTGTGAAGCCAGCAGAGCAAGAGCCGCTGCACAGCTATTGCTCTTGCTCTGCTGGCTTCTCAGCGCAGCGGGATGGGGGGGCAGAAGGGGCTCTGTATAAGGGCTCCCTTCTGTCCCTCATCCCGCTTTGCTGGGAAGCCAGCAGAGCAAGAGGCACTGCACAGTTAAAGCTCTTGCTCTGTTGGCTTCACTCTAGGATTCCTTTCCAGTTCAGCAGTTCATTGGTTAAAAAAACAGATACCAGCCCTAAGAGCCCTGCCCACCCCTACACGTGCATGTGCCTTCCGACCCCACTGTACTTGGAATGGAGGCATGTGTCCCATGCGCCAGTACAGGGTGCATTTGCTTGGAAGTAAGCCCCACACAAGATAATGATGCACAAAAATAAGCATATTGAATGGGGCTGCTTGGGGGGCTCCCTCCCACCCCCAGCATTAAGAAAGAAAGGAGAGATGAAGGGTAGTTGGCAAGCCAAGAAGGGCGGAGGGGATGAGGAGGAGAAAAATAGATCAACCTTTTCCCTAAAAAGCAAACTGGCAAGTAGGCAGATGAAGGCTGCCTACTTGGTCTCTTCCCACCCCCGACCATACACAGCCTACATTTTTAACAGTTGCTATCATGTGGAGTAGATGAATATTTATTTCCCAGAAGGCTCACTGTGAAACTCCACTTTTTCTCCAGTCCTATAATTTAATGTGAGATTAAGCAATAACTGATTGCCACACTTGGGTGCTGATGAAGCAAGTGCTGAAGCTTGCCTCCAAGCATGGATTTTCCTTTTTACTTGGGCTTTAGGGTGAAGAGAGCTCGGCATCCAGCACTTGAGTAATGGTCCGTATTTGCTGCTCATGTATTGTGTGGGAAGGGGCCAGAAATTGCATGGTAGAGCACCTGTATGTAAATGGTCCCAGGTTCAGTCTGCAGAAGGGGCTGGAAATGCATCCTTTCTGAAACTGTAGAGAGCAGCTGCCTGTCGTTCTGAACAATACTGAGCTAGCTGGACCAGTAGTCTGCTTCAGTTGAAGGCAGCTTCCAATGATGTTGTTGCTGTGTTGTCTGTACAGCACCAGTGACATGCACTCAGTCCAGGACCGCCACTGAATTGTCTAAAACTCTGTATAAACATGTAACTATTAATTCTGTAAAAGATAACTGGCAGTGCCCCATCTGTGGGTATAGTAATCTAAAGTAACGATGGTCTCTTAATTTGACTAATTCTGTGCTGAACTTTGGTTTACAGCCCAATGGGTCTTTCTTTTATCAGTCAGAAGCACAGAGAGATGCTGGCTTGTCCTGCACACAGCTCAACTGCATTCTACCATAGTCGTTGCACAAAGCTTAGTTTTCCACACTTCATGATTTATTGGTATTTGAGATTTCTCCACACTTGGCAACGGACTTGCTGTTTCAACCTACTTGCAGGGTAGGAATAGTTGTCATGAACTGCAGAGAACATAAATAAATATCATACAGGAGGCGGCACACTGGCCCCCCTCCCCCCGGGAGCTGCTCCCAGATTATTTAAGCATACATTGCAAACAGATAAAGCAACCCCCTCTGTTAGCTTACAAGCTTAAAAGTGCCTCAGATCCAAGTTATCAGAATTCAGTTTTCCAATTAAAATAACAGCATAACTTTCGGTGTGTGTTTTCACTGAAGCTTTGACCCATGGAATATTTTTGTGAAACATTCTAAAACTGCAAGCAACATGGGAGGCAGTTGCTGATGTGGGCTGAAGAATGAGTCATTATTGAGGCCAGCTGATTCTGCAAAGGACAGTCTGACTAAAGAGGAATTAGAATGTCACATCAGAAAATAGAGAATTTAAGTGTGGGGGGACTGAAGATTGATATACTGTTAGGATATATAGTGAATATTTTGCATTCTCTGTATAGTGGGAGTGCGTCCAGAGTACAACAGTGTCTTACTTCCCTGTTAGAGGAGAAAAAAAGGAGCTACACCTCTGTGTGATAGTTCTCTATCCTGTTGAATGCAGCCGCAACAGGGGTAGGGGAACGTCCAGCTTGTGGGCATGTAACATTGGCCCTCCATGAATCCCAGTGGGCCTGTTAGGCCCTTCCTGGTTGGAGTATGGCACGTTCTCCCCCCCCCCCCCGTCCCTTCCTTATGGGCAGTGCAACTTACCTTGCTCCAGGATCTTGAAAGAGTGTGCAGTGAAACCAGCTGCAGTGGAGGAGAAAAATTCAATTTTAGCAGAGGTTTCACTGCAAACCCCTTTGTGTTCCTAGAGCAAAGCCTCCTTGAGGCTTCGGAAAGCTGTCTGGACAAACGCTGGCTCCCTTGGCCTGAAGCGAAATGAGCTCTGCAACCCCATAGTCACCTTTGGTTCAGGGGTCATTTACCTTTTACCTTTACAGGCAACAAGCAATTTACTTGTGTCCAATTGACTTGCAACTCTGCACACAAACATTGCGGTGACACAGAAGTGGCCAGAAAAGGGTGCAGAACAGTGGCTGTGTGGAGCGGAGCATGCAGTTACCCAGAATGCAACACCCACACAAATCGGGGGTTGCCTGTAATGTCAAGTGCTTGGTGGGTGGGTGAATTTTTCAAATTTGGCCCAGAAGCGGTCGGTCAGATATAACTGGCCCACCACACCCAAGGTTCACGTTTCATTTTTGTCTGTACTAGAAAGAATATCATAGCAATGAGGAAGGTTTTTAATGCTTCAGCCCCATTTTCTCCTCACTTTCCAGACAGCAAATTAATATAGTGTAAGTTTGGCATTTCCCTCCAGTTGTAGGAAGTACCATATTTTTCGCTCTGTAAGACGCACCAGACCATAAGACGCACCTAGTTTTTGGAGGAGGAAAACAAGAAAAAAAATATTCTGAATCTCAGAAGCCAGAACAAGAAGAGGGGTCGCTGCGCAGCGAAAGCAGCAATCCCTCTTGTGCTGCTTCTGGCTTCTGGGATAGCTGCGCAGCCTGCATTCACTCCATAAGACGCACACACATTTCCCCTTACTTTTTAGGAGGGAAAAGGTGAGTCTTATAGAGCAAAAAATATGGTAGTTATGAGACTTAATTGGTCATTGTTAGTAGGAGCTTACCCTCCAGTGAGTTGATATTGCTGACAGCATAGAAGTGAAATAGGCATATTGACTGTGACTTGTAACAACACAGGTTTCTGTTGAATTCTGCAGAAATTTAGGGTGGCATTTCCATGGGAAAGCTATTGCTAAAGTCCTAACAAACTTTGGCCAAAAAGAGGCCTCAGTTATTTTTCATGTTTCATCTTTCACAACCAGTGTACAGAATGCATAGTTAACCAGCTAATTCAGGATGCAGGCAGGTAGCATTGTTCCCAGCTAGATCTTCTAATTTTGTCCTAGCTACATTCCATTACTTATTCTATGCTTAGTTCTCTATCTCTAAATCAGAATATTTGAAGAATAAACTTCGTTAACTTTCTATCTATGAACGTTCTGAAATTTGCCCATTTTATCAGAACTCTGCAACTGTCCTTGCTAACATCTTGAAAAGATGTAAACTCTGCTGCTGGCACACCTCAGCAAGTTTAGTTGCATCCTGCTTGCTTGTATTACTGTTCTGATCAGAAGTGAGTTTAGTCACTGTCCCTATTTAACATGCTCTGTTCTCCTACTCCCAAAGAGCTAATGTAATTGGGCAGAACCAACTGATCTATGTAGTTTAGTTAATTGGTTTAGAATGTCTTGATAGGCAACATTTTGTAAATTCAGATAATAAATGTTCATCTCTTGTTACCCTTTCTTCGCACACTCTTCTTCCTTCTGTTGTGTGGGTGGGTTCAACGAAATGTCCTTTATTTACTGTTCTCTCACCCCTCTTTTCTTCCCACATTGTCAAGATGGTAGTGCTAGATTCATAACAACAGTGTGGATTCCTGTAGGTTAAACACTGAACCCCAAAACATGAAATTTTAAGCCAAATTGGAGTTGTACTGCTGTAAGTTTTTGGTAGTGTTTTTGTGGGTTGTATGTTTTTTAAAAGCACAGATTTAGAACGTTCTCTCTTTTTATATTCCTTCCCCATCAGTTGCTAGATGCATCATCAAACACAAATCACAGTATTCTAGAAGTATGTATACAGTTGAGTAATGCTATATT